TAATTCGATTCCGCTGTGGACCTCGACTGATCACTCTACCGAATGAGAATGGCAGGGTAAAGGGCACAGATCTATCTCGTGAGTACATATATGTTCATTCCCCTCCTCTTTTCTTTCTTTCGATCGTGCAAGCAGGGCTTCTTCCACAGTTCATTACTGTTTCTTTGTCGCTTCAATTTCGTCGTCTCCCCTCATTCCCTCCAGCAAAATGTTCTTTCCTTCATTGGTATGTCTATACTTCGAACCAGTGGTCGAGTGCGGCATGGTCCACAGCTCCACCTTCAACCATGCGACCATGACTAATTTCGCAATAGATCCTGGCTGCTGGCAGCCTTTCCACTCTCATTCAGGCCATTCCCCATGGCGCGAAGCCCCATCACAACTTGCACCGTCGCGCCGCTGCTACCTATGCTGTCATGGGTGGTAACGGCGATGTCTCCGACGGATGGCCTTCCCTGAGCCAATGGTCGGAGTACGACACTCTGTGAGTAGATCAACCTGAAATATAAAAGCAGAATGTCGAGCTAACCATTTTTCTAGCTGGGCTCTCAACCAAATTCTCATTGCCGCATCATGCGACAACTCTGACGACGAAACAAGCGACATAAACACTAGCATCAAGTCACTCGCTAGCGAGACTGGCGTCGACGCTCGATTCATCCTTGCAATTGTTATGCAAGAAAGCAAGGGCTGCGTTCGCGTGCAGTCCACCGACAACGGCGTTCTGAACACCGGTCTCATGCAGAGCCACGCAGGCGAGGGCACCTGCAACACGGACGGCAGCTTGACAACTCCCTGCCCCGCCTCCACCATCAAGCAAATGATCACCGACGGTACCGCTGGAACCGCCTCGGGCGATGGTCTCAAGCAGTGCTTTGAGGCTCAGTCCGGCGCCACTGCGACCAAGTACTACAAGGCCGCGCGCACCTACAACTCTGGCTCCATCGACTCATCCGGCAACCTCGGCGCGGGCGGCGCAACCCACTGCTACGCCTCTGATATCGCCAACCGTGTCCGAGGTTGGGCCGGCGATGTGAGCGAGTGTGTTGAGTCTACCATTGCATCCATCACTAGCGGCGCGGAGTCACTCCTCAGTGGTGACGACGACTCGAGCAGCTCCTCCACCACGGAGGCTGCCGAGACTATCCAGACTACTTCTTCCACTGTTGCTGAGCAGGCCACCTCGACTGCCGAGCCTATTCAAACATCCACTTCTGTCGAAGCCGTCCAGCCAGCCGAGACATCGTCCGCCGCATCCTCCGCGACCACCTCCGTGGAATCTGCCGCCACCTGGGCCTCCACAGTGAACGTGCGCGTCGCCACGCAGACCGCCACCGCCACCCCATCCTGGACAACCAAGTCCGCGCCAGCCGCGACTTCTTCAGCAGCAGCCACTAGCTCATCATCCTCAACAGCCCCTATCTACCCATACGCCACCTCATCATGCCAGAAGTACTACACCGTCACGGAAGGTGACTTCTGCGCAAAGTTGACCGATGCATACGGAATCTCCTTCGAGGAACTCCGCAGCATCAACACTGGCCTCGACGAGAACTGTTCTGATCTGTGGCTCGGATATCAGTATTGTGTCAAGGCTTAAGTTCCAGCCTCTGATATATTTTTGGATATATATTTCTCTCCTTTACTGATTCCCACCGATTCCCACGAGCTTTTGGATCTACTTTTGGATCTACTTTTGTCATTTTTTTCACTCTTTAAGGCGGTGCCTTAGCATGAGCTTGCTCTGCAAAACACGGCCGTGGGTGATGCTGGCACTTGCCCACGGCCTATTTACGACGGATGACGCCAGCGACTTCAATTAACAATTTTGGACTTTCCACTTTTTTGACCATTGTAGAATATGCGTAGGCTACAAAATGCCACTTTGGTAGGCTTTATTATAAATGGATAAACCTAGTAACTAACTAATGATGCTATTTAAAACTTCCCCATCTGCCAATTGAGATTTCTTATCAGATTGGCACATATGGCTTGACCCTAGGGATTAGTTAGATACAAGGCAAGACAAAGAGCAACAATGCTATGGCCATATGGAATGTATCGCATAATTCAACAAAGCTATTTAGTGTTTGAATGAAAGATCAATGTCTCTACTAGGGTTCGAAATGAAAGAATATGACCTCATGGCTGTCTCTAGTCCTCTATTTAAACAAGTATAAGCCCTCGTAGCTGTTCATAATCATCCGTTCCATTCAGCAATTTAATAACTAACCCAACAGCCAGCAAATTCCCAAGACACCCAATATGATGCAACCAGGTATGTTCAGGTATAAATTTGGAGGACCGGGTCTCCCCGAGTATGAGATGAGCGACTATGAATGCGTCTACTTCGTGACAGTACATTTTGACGAGAGATATAGGAAGTATTCCAGCGAAAGGCTCATGAAAAGTATGATCTGTCGAATCAAAAATGGGCATGCTGAGGTCAGCCTTAGGCCTCTCCATCGCCTCACTCCGCGGTGCATCTCTATGCCAGTCTATGGACCATATGATGCCCCGAGTACTGTTGTACTTGCAACTGCTAGAGTAGTTGCTGAGACGCGTTTGAATGAGATTCATCAAGGATTTGTGGAGATCGATATGGATTTGGTTTTTGGTGTGAAGAAGTAATTGCTTGGATTATTTTAGATGAATAGGATCTTTAGCTGTTCTGCTATACTATATACTCTGACACATCTAGTAGAAAGCCAGTAGCAAGCGACAAAGGATAATCATTTCAACTGAAGTTCTCCCCCTCCACAGCCAGTCGAATAACTTCCTTATTCAATCCCTCCCAGCGAGTCCGACCCTTGATAAACCAATATACAAAAGCGAACAAAGTAGTGACACCAAAAATGGGCGCCGCATAATTCATGTTCTCACCAGTAACCGGCAAGGCTGACGGGAATGCCAGCCACACCGTAACGTAGGCTGTATACACCAAAGCAAAGACATTAACCGGAAGTCCCCAGATGCCCATGTTCCAGTTCCCAAGCGGCGCCACGTGCTTCTGGAACCGGTTATGCACCATGCAACTAATAGCAATAAAATATGACATGAAGAGGCCAATCGACCCCAGTGCAACGAACGCCCCAAAAGCGGCACCGTCAGCGATGTTCAAACACGCGATAATCATGACGACGATTACTGGGAGCCAAACAGCGCGAATTGGCACGTTGTGCTTGCGGTCAATCTGCCGTTCTTGTCAGCTTATATTCTGCGTCGTCTTCCGTGGCACCGTCTGGTGCGAGATACATACATAGCTAAACCACTGGGGCAGGGCCCCATCACGAGCCCATGCCCACGTCAATCTTGAGACAGATGCGATACTCGCCAGATTGACCGATAGCGAGATTACGAGTAAGCCGCTGACCATCGCAGTGGCTGCTTTCACGGACCCCGTTGCTTGCCGGCAGATCTCGATTATCGGGAAGCTTGATTTCTGGGCTTCCTCCACAGAGCCCATCGTGAAGAGCATGCAGACGACCATTGCGTATGCCAAGATACCGTTGGCGACGACGGTATAGAATATAGACCTAGGAACGGCTTGTTTTGCTCGACGGACTTCTTCACTCATATGTACTGCACCGTCAAAGCCTGCGATGGTTAGCTTCCAGTCTTTACCTGTTCCAAGTATTCAGTGTGTACGCACCAACAAACCCCCAGACAGGAGTAAGCAGACCTATATTCCATGCGGGGAAAGTTGCCCAGCCCGAGGTGCTTTGCGTGTGTAGAAAGACAAACTCCGGCCTGTGGCGAGGTGCTAGAGCCGTGAATACAACCAGAAACACAATCAAAAGGCAGATGTGCAGGATACCCGCCAGCATCTCGATCCACGGAATCAGCCAAAATGTATACATGTTCATCAACGCTTCGACAATAAGCATGCCAATAATGATGAGGGTTATGTGCCATTGCTTTGGCTCGTACTCTGGGTAGTTCACACTTGCTAAGCCCTGGATCATCGTAGCAGTGGTGTTGGCAACACCGGCGAGTGTGGAGATCCACGCAAACCACGTCACCCAACCTGCATAATGTTAGCATTAAGCCAGGCAGTACTCGATAAGCGACACACCCTGCATCCAAGTGATGAACTTCTTCTGACTTTTCGGTGCCAGGTAATGTGTCCAGTGATACTGAGCCCCGGCAATTGGTTGCATCGATGCCATCTCGGCTAGCGAGGCTGATTGAGCCATTGCGCCGAATACCACAATTACTATACCCCAAGCTAGGGCTTCGGGTCCGCCATTTGAGAGTACTGTGTTCAGGTTCCTAAACCGTGGCGGTGTTATTAGTGCTAAGCATAACAAGGGATAAGACTTCCGTACAAAGCCTGAGTTTCCCAGCTCGATAAGTAAGTAAGTGAGAAGAAGAATATCTGGGTGAGATTGAAAAGACGCTGTATACTGTCTCAGCTAGCACACTTTATCGACCTAACAATCGTATCGTACCTTAGGCGAAGCCTGCTCCGAGGGTCCAGTCTTTTTACGCGGGGTGTCATAGGCATTGGAGACATTTGCATCTTGATCTGGCGCGGCTTTTCCAATGACTATACTTCCCCTTTCCAAAGAGAGCATCTCAAGGCGCTCCATTTGTTCTCGGCAGAGTAAATAAGGCAGTTGATGTCGGGAAACAAAACATTAGGCAAGTCCCAAGGAAGACCGGAGAAAGAAAAAGCAAAACTGGCATGGAGGCCATGAATCCAAAAACAAGGATCATGCAGAATCGTTGTCTTACGGTGAATTGTTCTTGTCTTGCCTGGGGGTATCGGCGTTGGAGGTGGGACTGGAAGATGCACGGTTGTGGAACTTGAGATAGACTGATCAGTTGCAATACGTAAATTATCGTGCTTGTGTGCCTTTGGTGGTATAGGAGATCCAATGAACAACCCGATATGAGGATACTCAGTAAGTGGCTGGGTTCTATATCATATAATGTCTCTTCTGCTATGCCATGAACATGATTCTGTTCATTTATGTCTACAGAATCTTTCGACTGCCATGTCATCCAACATAACTGTTCTCCTACCACCACTCTTGCCTGTCACCGATAACGATCATAGTGCTTGGGTTATCACCGTGAGCACTATTCTACTTATTATCACTATCCTCGCGACAACAGTGACGGTGATATCTCGCATTCGCGTTTTGCGCAGAGTTTCCTGGAGCGATTCAACTCTATTTCTCAGTTGTGTAAGTAGCTTTGCGTTTAATCATTGTCTAGTCTAATTAATTCACCAGATCATATTTATCCCTCAGACTGTGTGTGTGAATGTAGCCAGCTCCCATGGCATTGGTAAGCATCGACATGCATTAAGCAACAACTCATTTGAAAAATATAGCAAGGTAGGAAGGTTAAGCTTCTCCCAACTGGCTATATTCTAACATCATCAAGACATTCTTCGCTAGCCAACTTCTTGCCATTGCCGTCTTAGGATGTTCCAAGGCCGCTGTTGCACTCCTCGTCCTGTCCTTGCAACCCTTTGAGAAAATAACACTTGCAAGCAGGGTTGCTCTAGGCCTGATCAGTACCTGGACTCTGGCAGCACTCATAGTGCTCGGAAGACAGTGCAAGCAACCACAACCGTGGAACTCCAGCCCCGAACGATGCGTGAATCAAGAAGTTTTATATATCGCGATAGGAGGCACCCACATGTTATTAGACGTGGTAATAATTGTACTACCAGTGGCTCTACTACATCAAGTGCAGATAATACGGTGGAAGCGCCACCAAATCTCTGCCCTTTTTGCGCTGCGGATCCTGTAAGTGAACCTTCAAACATCAATAACATCCTCATCTAATCCGACACAGAGTTCTAGCCCTGACTATTGCCGGCCTACGCTCCCTCCGACCACTATATAACCCCAATCCCCTAGATGAAACATGGAATGCCCTCATGCCAGCCATTTGGCTACAATTAATCCTCAGCTCTTCCATTCTCTGCACATGCCTCCCAACCCTCAAACGGGTCCTCGCCGAGCTCCAGACAGGCATGATGGCCGGTGTAGTTTCAGACTTTTTTGAACAATCTATCTCGGGTCACACGAACTCGGGGGATCGATCCGCATCCAAGTCTGACAATGCCGTTGGGCAGCGATTGGGATCGGGGTCGGCGTCCCACTCCCGAATTCCAAGAGAATCGCTCGATGTCGAGCGTGTGGATAGTCAAAAGAAACTGTGCGAAATCCCCGTTGTGCAGCCGATCAACTATGAGGCTTTTTACGAAGAGCCTGGTTCTTCTAGAGCTTCGTCTTCCCATAACCGTGGAAGCGATGCTTTGAGCGTGTGTTCACATGGTGGAATTTAAAGGTAACTGGCGACCTACTGTCGTAGATATATCTACTTGCTTAGAGGGCGTGATTATATACCCAATTAGATTATGTTACCTTATTTATCTTGAAGCATTCTGTTATTAACCTACCAAATCAGTGAACTTCAATACCCGCTTGTGGGAGAAACAATTGTTTCTCCTTTATGGGCGCTATCAACTTCCCATCGCGGCTATGCTTCTGTGCTATCAGCATCTATGAGATTATTGCCTAGATGCTCGCCCGCGGTGATAGATAACCACGTCAGCGCAAAGACATGTCCTAGAGAATTCGGCATGTACAATTCCGAACACTTCTTGGATTTCAAATACACCTTGACCAGTCCAAACACATCGCGCCACTGGATCGAGACGGCGTTGGAAATATATGTCTCGAGCGTCTGCCTATATGTGGCCCTAATGAGCGGGTCCTGCGGTGAAATAGATCAATAGAGAATATATGAATATGTCTTCAAACATAATATCCTAGGAATTGATCAAATACATTAATTCTGAATGATTCCTAGTGAGTAATGTTGACTCGCGTAGGATGGGGACTTGGCGGGGCATGTTTATTATATCTCCCCTCGACAGGAATAGAGAGTAAAAACAAGAGACCTTGCACGTCAAAACTATTCTTTTGTTTTCTGAACAATGAGAGACAATGTTCTCGATATATTAGGCCAAACTCCAAGCCTCTACAAATTGTACACACAAATATGTTCCATTTACCCTGTCCCCGAGGCATCTTCTCATGATGCCATCATCGATACTCTCACAAACGGACTTGACCGATTGGCAAAAAGTTTCCCATGGCTTACTGGCCAGGTTGTCAACGAGGGCGCAGGGGATGGTAGTACGGGCGTCTTCAAAATAACCTCCCTCGACAAAATCCAGCTCGTGGTGAAAGATCTACGACATGACCCCTCCGCGCCGACAATGGACGGGCTTCGTCAGGCCAAGTTCCCTTTTACCATGCTCGACGAGAACATCATTGCTCCTTGCACAACTCTGAACCTACCGGGCAATTTGCCAAGTATCACGACCGAGTCAGCATTGGTCTTCTGTGTCCAGGCGAATTTCATCGCGGGCGGTTTGATGCTCACGCTGGTTGCTCAGCATAATGTCATGGACATGACTGGCCAAGACTTTATAATCGGATTGCTGTCCAAGGCTTGCCACAATGAGCCGTTCACAAGCGAGGAGCTTGCAGTCGGTAACATGGATCGGAGTCATGTCATTCCATTACTGGATGATTCGTACACCCCGGGCCCTGAGCTCGCTCGCCAGATTGTGAAACCCCCGCCAAGCGTCGAAAATGTTGTCTCGAATCCTATTTCACCTCCAAAATCTACATGGGCCTATATTGAATTCTCTGCGGCACAGCTTGGCTCTCTCAAAGCTCTCGCCGCCAATACATTGCCCGCCTCCACGGACTTTATCTCTACGGACGATGCTGTCAACGCTTTTATCTGGAAATCTATTGCCCGCGCCCGGGCTCCTCGTCTGGAAGCGACTTCTGAATCGATGCTCACGCGCGCTGTCGACATGAGACAGCACTTTGGTATTCCCCAGGGCTATCCAGGTCTTCTGCAGAATTTAACATACAACACCGATACTATCCAGAAACTCCTCGAAAAGCCTTTAGGCATCATTGCCGCCGAGCTTCGGTCACGGTCCCAGCTCGATCCCAAGAAAAATGATCTTGTATTCAATACCCGTGCCCTCGCTACAGTTCTTAGTCGTTCGGTTGACAAGACCAAGGCGTCTCTTACTGCCACGGTCAATGTTTCCTCGGATGTTATGCTTAGCTCGTGGTCGAGAATTAGCTGTCATGATCTCGACTTCAATCTAGGATTGGGCAAGCCTGAAGCTGTGCGAAGACCACATTTTACCCCCTTTGAGGGCTTGGGGTACTTGATGCCTCGATCGGCCGGTGGTGAGATGCCTGTTGGTATCTGTCTGAGAGATGAAGATTGGGAACGGTTAAAGGTAGATGGGGAGTTTACGAAGTATGCTAAGTATATTGGGTAATAGATGTTGAAACGACCTGAATAATGATTAAATACTCTTTAATATGTATATCCACGAATATCATCCAGGTACAAAGGTTGAGGGTATACCGTAACATCCGTGGATCGCCGTCTCCGCATGCCGTCATGTCTCCGCATTTGGGAACTCGAGGGAATCTCCTTCCTTCACCTCTCACCCTCTCTGTTATATACAACTTAGGTCTTCGTTCAATCATATTACAGCATACGTACTTCTTTTTCTTCCTTATAACAATCAAAATCCGTCATCATGGGTGGGGAAGTTCCCTCTCGCCCCTCTCCTCCAGCTTTACCCCAGTTAGCTGAACGTCCGGTCGGCCAACGTATCAAGAAGATCTATACCGATAGATTGAACCAGTTCACGTCGAACGGCCAGTACGAAGGCCAAAACCTCGTCTCGAAGTACCACGAAGCCACAAACTCGGACGAAGATCATGTCAAGCTCTCTGTTTACTCGGTTCCGGACCTGCAGCGACCGACCTTCAAAGAGGCGACCTCTCAGGAATTCAAGCCCACCCACATAGGCGCCTCCTTTGGCCCCAGTTGGTCCACACATTGGTTCCGGATTCACCTCACAGTGCCCGAGGACATGCTCCAACGGGAGCATCTAGAGTTCCACTGGGATGCCAACAACGAAGGTCTGATCTGGACAGAGGACGGACACCCGCTGCAGGGCTTGACTGGAGGCGGAGAACGGACCGAGTTTGTTCTCCCCAAACAATGGTGCGATGGGAAGGAGCATACCTTCTATATTGAAATGGCCTGCAATGGCATGTTCGGCAATGCTCCTGGTGGCGATTCGATCCAGCCACCAAATCCCGATAAACACTTCACGCTCAGCACGGCGCGAATCACCGCGGTAAATCTGGCTGCCCGGGCACTTTTCTATGATTTCTGGATTATTGGGGATGCCGCCCGGGAATTCCCAGGGGACTCATGGGAGTCGCATGAAGCCAATGTTGTGGCCAATTCTATCATCGATACTTTCATTGCGGGTAACGGAAGCAATGATTCTATCAACGAGGGGCGGAAGATTGCTAGAAAGTATCTTGGCGACAAAGTAGACTCATCCGATGTTTACGACACAGACACGCAGCCGATAGTTTATGCCATTGGCCATTGTCATATTGATACTTGCTGGCTGTGGCCTTGGGCTGAGACCAAGCGCAAGGTGGCACGGTCATGGTCTAACCAATGTGATCTGATGGAACGATATCCTGAGCACCGTTTTGCTTGTTCTCAGGCTCAACAGTTCAAATGGCTCAAGCAGTACTACCCATCCGTTTTTGATCGCGTGAAGCGCTGGGTAAAGAAAGGCAACTTCCAGCCTATCGGCGGGAGCTGGGTCGAGCACGATACAAACATGCCAAGTGGAGAATCGCTGGTCAGACAGTTCTTGTATGGACAGCGATTCTTCGAGGCAAACTTCGGTAAGCGATGCTCAACTTTCTGGTTGCCAGATACGTTCGGGTACTCTACACAGATCCCTCAGATATGCCGCCTGGCTGGGATGAGCCGTTTCTTTACCCAGAAGCTCAGCTGGAACAACATCAACAACTTCCCTCACACTACATTCCAGTGGGTTGCGCTTGATGGCAGCCAAGTCTTGTGCCACATGGCCCCTGCCGAGACCTACACAGCTGAAGCGCATTTCGGTGATGTCAAACGCAGTGTCACTCAGCATAAGTCGCTAGACACGGACAAGTCATCGCTGCTTGTATTCGGAAAAGGCGACGGAGGTGGTGGTCCGACTTTTGGGCATCTCGAAAAGCTGCGTCGATGCCGTGGTCTCAGTGATCAGATCGGCTCATTGCCCCGAGTGAAAATGGGCGAGTCGGTAGATGATTTCTTTGCAAAGTTGGAGACAAAGGCTGCCTCTGGCACTGATTTTGCTACCTGGTACGGCGAGCTTTACTTTGAGTTGCACCGTGGAACATACACCACTCAAGCGAACAACAAGCGCAATAACCGCAAGGCCGAGTTTTTGCTGCGTGAGATCGAGCTTCTTGCGACATTCGCTACCATCAAGGCTTCTAATGATGGATATCGGTATCCTAAGAAGGAGATTGACGAGATGTGGGAAGGAACCCTCCTTTGCCAATTCCATGATTGCTTGCCGGGTAGCTCCATCGAGATGTGCTATGATGACTCAGACAAGTTGTATGCCGAAATATTTGAGATTGGAGCCAAGCTGCGAAAGAATGCCCTCAAGGCTTTGGGACTCACCGGCGATGTTACGGGTGGAAATTTCATGGCCCTCAACACCTTGCCATGGCCCCGATCAGAAGTGGTTGCAATTCCTCCAGCAGTGTCCGCATACAATGGATCCAGATATGCCGTGGCTGCTGGTACAACTGGGGTGATGCAAGTTGAGCCGGCTGACTTCAAAATGACCACTTCGGTGACCGTTACTGAGGTCAAATCTGGTATCTTCCGCCTGGAGAACGGTAAACTCAGGGTTGATGTTCATGATGGGGTTATCACATCCTTGTACGATGTGCAAGCCGATAGAGAGATCGTCGCAAAGGACCGCAAGGCTGGCCAACTAGTTATCTTCGACGACAAGCCTCTTTACTGGCAAGCATGGGATGTCGAGGTGTTCCATATTGAGTCACGAAAGGAGTTGCCCGGGGGTAAGACGACTATTATAGAAAATGACCCACACCGAGTGAGTGTCATGACTGAGACACAGATCAGCGACAAGAGCTGGATCAAGACCACGATCAGCCTGTCGGCATCCACATCCGATGAGCCCTCATACGTGGAAATGGAGAGCGAGGTGGAATGGCAAGAGACGATGAAATTCCTGAAGGTTGAGTTCCCAGTTGATATCATCAACACCGAAGCATCCTACGAGACCCAGTATGGCATTGTAAGGCGCCCGACGCATTATAACACAAGGTATGCACCGACGTCCATTTTCCTTCACAACGATACTAATTACTCTGCAGTTGGGACATGGCCAAATTCGAAGTCTGCTGTCACAAATGGGCCGACCTCTCCGAAAACGGCTACGGAGTCTCCATCCTCAACGACTCTAAGTATGGCTTCGCAACATGCGGTAACCTGATGCGCTTATCGCTGCTCCGTGCCCCCAAGGCACCAGACGCCCACGCCGACATGGGCCGCCACCACATTCGCTACGCAATTCTTCCTCACGCTGGTGCCCTTGATGCCCGAACAATCCGCGCAGGCTTCAATTTCAATAACCCACTCATTGTTGAGAAAGCCGGCCCCAAAGCATCTGCTTCCAATGCCCTGTTTAAATCTCTGTCTATCAAGGGCGCACCATCCTTGATTCTGGATGTTGTCAAGCGCGGCGAGGATGATGTTGACGTTTCCTGGGATGGTGTTCCTACCCGTCCTGGAAAGAGTGTTATTCTGCGTGTCTATGAATCGCTTGGTGGTAAGGCTCGCGGTACCATTGAGACCTCATTGCCTGTGAAGAATGTTTTCAAGTGCAATATTCTTGAGGATGATGAGAACCACGGGCTGGATATTGAAACCGCAGGTTATCTTTCCGCGATCAAGATTGAGTTGAGGGCGTTTGAGGTCGCTACATACCGACTGCAGCTGTGATTGTAATAAACGTATTTGATTGGCAGGCTTTAGCCAAGCCTAAAGAGTATCGCAAGGCACTCATTGCATGTACCTAGCTCGTGTCGCATTCAATTTGAAGCAATGAAACAAATGATGTATCCGACAAACGCTGTAGTCTGTATAACTTCGTGATTTACATGATATCGCATCGTAGGTGTAATAAGACAGAAAAATCCCATTCCCATTTCCCGCTACGCCCGAAACACGACTCCTCCCAGGAGTCATGTGAAAAGACAAACCAACCAACTCCGAACTCGAGAAAAAGCCAAGCAGATAGATGCAAGACGGGCGCAGAACATAAAGAAGACTGAATCTCGCAAGAAAACTCAGTCTCTGCCGTAGCTGATCTTCAACCGCTTCACAGAAGGCTTGTCCTCGTCGGAAATATCCTCGGTCTGGTTCTTGCCCTTCGTATTCTTCGACCCGCCAGTCGCCTTCTTTTTGTTTTTTGATGCGCCGTTCGAGTTCCTCATCCCGGCAGAAACGGTCAGCGGGTCAATCTTCATGGACATGCCGTTTCCAGTCGTAGATGTCGGCGTTGCTGCGTGGGAAGGCGTGGTTTGTACAGAGGAGGGACCTGGGGAATCCTGCAGACACAACAATAATCGTTAGTCCCCAGTTCAAATCAGAAGCACCATAGGGTAGATCCATTTTCGGGTCGGTTCAGCATACCATCATATAACTCGCCGAGCTGCGCGAGAAAACTCGATCCGATTCCGTCACCTGCGCCTTTCGCCTCGACCCGGCCATACTGCTGCCCAGACCCAGTCCCGCGGCGCCGAGACTCGACCCATTCGCAGAGCCTTTGATATAGTTGTCGAAGCCCTTGATGATGTTTCCAGCGGTCGTTTCTTCCAGGTATGACTGTTCGAAGCGGAAGATTTGGTCTTCGAGTTGGGCCTGGGGGAAAGGTGTGTTAGAAACACATCAGAGCAGAACAGTTTACACATTCATAGGGCGATATTGTAGATTCTCAATTGGAGAACATGCTCGCGCAGCGAAAGAACAAAATTCCAGAGAGGTAACCACGTCCCGGTCCCTGGAGACGGGAACGCGCAAGACTGCAACTCACCATGCTCTTATCCATTAAGCGCTTTTTCTGCAGTGTGTCCCGCAGCTCGCGGCGCAGTTTCTCGTAGTAAGGTAGCCCGCGACTCGCGGCATTCTGATCTGCGGGCGCATTCGGTGCTCCTGCTGTTGCGCCGGCTGTGGGCGCTGCAACTCCGGTGGTCGCGGACGCGGCTGTTGGAGCCGGTGCTGTATCGGCCATTATTGTAGAAGTGGATCGCAATGGGAAGAATATTTTATGCTAAAGTGACGTATCCCATGCGCAGAATGGGTGAAACAAAGTTGAGATTGGGGTGGATGTAGTGTCAGTGCGTAGTCAATGACCGCGTTTGGGTTCGGGAGAGAGCTTATCGATGTTTGTCTTGTTTGCATTCCCCTCCTCTTAATCGTCCGATGATGTGCTTTGTTCGCTCCTCGTACCACCTGCCATCGTACGAGTATATTGTCGTTTATCTTATTTAAGACATAAGAGGTCTCCTGTTACTATTGCATATCTACTTACTACTATTCAAGATGGACCACTCGGCTCATGGTGATATGGGTCATGGCGATATGGGCCACGGCGATATGGATATGGGTGGGAAATGCAGTATGAATGTGAGTTATAGCCTCGGTTCAGCTTTGGTTGTAGTTTACCTTACGCTAATTCCATATGTAGATGCTATTCAACTGGTCCTCCGAGAATTTGTGCATTGTCTTCCGCAGCTGGCGTATCACCGGTCCCTTCTCCTTCCTCTTGTCCCTCATCGCTATCGTTATCCTTGCTGCGGGCTACGAGGGAATACGATCAGCAACTCGGAAATACGAGGCTGCCCACGCACAGCGGCTAAGTGCGTTCCTGGGAACTTCTGCCACTACTGGGGGTAAGTGATTTGCTCTTTCCGTGGACAATGTCAAGGATACTCTATTCCCAATAATTCCTACTATGTTTTCGTTGGATATCGGGGACATGATAGGGAGATGGTAAACTCTGAATGAGCACGCTTCTTATTGATGTCTTGGCTCTCTGCAGACGCTGAGATCGCCGACCCTATCATTGCCAACGGCCTGGCGGATGCAACCCACCCCACTCACCACGAAAGCTCACCACTGCTTGTAGGAAGCGAGAACAGAGCGGCATTGGCGCGCAAGGGCAAGCTTATCATGGCGGCTTTGTATGCCATCCAAGTGTTCTATAGCTTCTTCATCATGTGAGTGCCTCCCGAAAACCATTTAGCCAGTCCTGGCTTGCTGATTTGGTTTAGGTTGCTCTTCATGACGTATAATGGGCCGGTCATGATTGCGGTTGCAGTGGGCGCATTCGTTGGGTACTTGACTTTCTCCGAAGGGACGCCAGCGGCAAAGACAATCGCGTGTCATTAAAGGATGCCCGGGGCATTGACGAATATGCAGACTCAGAGGCGGTGTAGAGAACAATGACCATATGGCAAATTTTGAACTGGTTTTGGATTAGAATTGACGGGTTTGGAAGCCCTTTCCGGTGGAGAATGGTGCTGGTTTGTGGTGGCGACTTCATTGATTTGTGGTTCCATCAGTCTCTCCATATTGCAGTAACAGTTCATGGGACTTCCACATCACTCCCATCATCGCCAAATCCAAAACTGAATCCACCTCCTTCAGTGTCTTGGGTGTCCTCTGTTTTCCCGTGAACAATATCTTCCCATTTGCGCTTCTTGCCTTCATTCTTCTTCTGCAACTCATCCCAAGCGTGCTCCAGAAGGTCGGGATATGCCTCGCGCATACCGGCCATAAACCGCTCACATGGATTAGCCACGTTCTTCCGGAATCCAGACACCTGGTCCGGCTTGTTAGACAAGAAATCTAAAGCAGCGCCGAGATGGCCTCGGGGAACAAAGTTCTGCGTAATAGCGATCGATGGCTCTAGGTTCACGACCAAATGCCACCACCCAGACGGAACATGTAAGATCTCACCCGCACCACAGATACCTTCGACGCAGCCCTGAGTCCGGCGTGCTTCAGCATGGAAACCCAGTAGCCATTCGGCAATGCTCAGCGGAGAAGTCACCTCGCTCTGGTCATCCGACACAAAGACACCCGGAGGCGGAGGCTGTTTCGTGCTGGACGGGAACATAATCCAATACTTGGGACCGCGTAGCACGGCGTTCCATGCGCTAGTAGCATTGGGATCTTTGTGAAACTTGCTGCCGGATCGCTCGGGGCCAATAATCAACCATTGATGGTCAGGGCGGTCGTCACCGAGCACGGAGAAGAAGTCTTCAGCGAAGCACGCCGGTGGCCAGTACGATGCGTCGGGTGTGGTTTCTGGAGACCCGACGGACAGTCCCATCTTGGAGACGAAGGATCGGTCGAATAGGTACAGCGGGCTCTCGTCAGAGTTATCTGCCATGTAGTCGCCGTAAGTGCGCATGGCCCAGTCCACGGCTTCGGCGCGGAACTTGGTCTTCCCATACCGGGCGAGTAATGACCCGACGGTCCAGTTCTTGTATGCTGGCCAGGCCTTGACAGGCTCAGTCAAGATGAATGGTCGGTCGGTCCACTTTGCTTGGAATTCCTCAGGTGACAGGTCTGGAAGTCGTGCGATCTGGTTCCGCGCCGGAATCTTGGAGACATATGGGTCGAGTGAGATATGTGCGCAGTTGAACGGTCGGTATAGAGAGTCGGAGAATAGCTGGGAGCAGTCCACCATGGGCACCTTGGAGGCGGGGATATTGAGATACGTTGACCGCCATGTCCCTCGCCAGGTAAAATCTTCTCTTGGGTCACTGCAAGCAGACTTAGTATCTCATGTGTTCATTGGAAATTTGGGACATTATGATATTGAATAAATGTAGGGCTCTAAGATCTACATGGTTCAACTGGATATGCAGGTAGCTTACCGAACAAACAGCGCTTTCCATAGTTCTTCAGCCCGGGTAAATGCATAGAAAGCCTTGCATGTCCGCCCGATGCTCAATAGGCTTGACCCATCGAGAGTCTCCAACAACAACAGGATTAGTTCGTCTGGTAAGTGTTGAAAAGTCCCTATGGCATTGCGAAGACTCCATGTGGCCAATAGAGCATTCCCGCTGGGCTTCACGCCTAGTGGATGGGATGGAATGGCCTCCGTTATGATCTCTGCATCCTGTGGTGGTGGATGACTCGACAAGGAGGTAATATCAGGCATGATCTGGCTGGCACTTTTAGGGCTTCAACGACGCGTTTGATGGCAACTGGAAGATAGTTCACCAAATAAATGGGAACAAAAGAAACTGAATTGACAAAATCAAATTCCTTGAACAAAGCAACAATCTGCACCACACCAATCAGTTCAAAAAAGGCAATATCATCACCAAGAAGATGTTTTCATGTCCATGTCGCCCACTCTAAACTCGCTTGGGCTTGGCCACCCCCAACACGGCAAGCGGTGAGATTTTGCCCCGTAAAAAAAAAACGGCGTAGCAAATGGCGCGGCGGTTGTGGCCATTCGATTTTTTCGCTTTTCTTCTCTTCCTCCTCCCACCCCATTTGTGAATTTTCACATCCAACCACATTTTTCAATATTCCCTAGTATCCTGTAAAAAGACTCTTTATCAAGAGTCTGAGGTACTAGAAGTCAACTTTCCCACGCGAATCTACACAAGTTCGCTAAAACTACCCCACCACACCGATCACAGTCAACGCCTGTGATCCTTTCTATCAAACCGCAATCATGGCTGACAAGGGTCTTGAGGATCTTGCCGAGGGTATGTGCTAAGTCTCTGTTACTTTCTGATTAGAGAGCCCGCTGCTTGCTGTCGCTGTCGCACGCGCGATCGCATTCAATGTTGGGTGGCGTCGGATACCGAAATGCATTATGAATGAAGATGGAGGCTAATCTTACAATTTCCATTAACAGGGCAGATCGAGTCTAACTACGATGAGGTCACTGATTCCTTCGATGCTATGGACCTGAAGCCCGAGCTGCTTCGCGGTAAGTCCCTTTTCGTCTTATCAGGTGGGGGTGAAAAAATATACTGACGGGGTACCAGGTGTCTACGCTTACGGTTTCGAGCGCCCTTCCGCCATCCAGCAGCGTGCTATCATGCCCATCATCAAGGGTGAGTTTCTTTTATTCCAGATTCATTTTTGAAATTTGCGCCTAACCTGTGAGGTCAGGCAACGATGTTATCGCCCAGGCTCAGTCCGGTACCGGTAAGACCGCTACCTTCTCCATTTCCGCTTTGCAGAAGATCGACCCCGAGATCAAGGCCTGCCAGGCTCTGATCCTTGCTCCCACCCGTGAGTTGGCTCAGCAGATCCAGAAGGTCGTTGTCGCCATCGGTGACTTCATGTCCCTTGACTGCCACGCCTGTATCGGTGGTACCAACGTTCGTGAGGATATGAACGCTCTCCGCGCCGGTCCCCAGGTCGTTGTCGGTACCCCCGGCCGTGTCCACGACATGATCCAGCGCCGTGTCCTGTCCACCACCGCCATGAAGCTCTTCATCCTCGACGAGGCCGATGAGATGCTGTCGGTAAGTTGCTATAGTTGATACTCTATGTATCAATCGGTTCTAACTCTTTTTTTCAGCGTGGTTTCACCGAGCAGATTTACGACATCTTCCAGCTACTTCCTCAGTCTACCCAGGTCACCCTGCTCTCCGCTACCATGCCCCAGGATGTCCTCGAGGTCACCACCAAGTTCATGCGTGACCCCGTCCGTATCCTTGTCAAGAAGCAGGAACTTACCCTTGAGGGTATTAAGCAGTTCTATATCGCTGTTGAGAAGGAGGAGTGGAAGCTCGACACCCTCTCCGATCTCTACGAGACCGTCACTATTACCCAAGCTGTCATCTTCTGCAACACCCGCCGAAAGGTCGACTGGCTCACCGACAAACTCACTGCCCGCGATTTCACCGTCTCCGCCATGCACGGTGACATGGAGCAGGGCCAGCGTGATGTTATCATGAAGGAGTTCCGTTCCGGTTCCTCCCGTGTCCTGATCGCCACCGATCTGTTGGCCCGTGGTATTGATGTCCAGCAGGTTTCCCTGGTCATCAACTACGATCTCCCCGCCAACCGTGAGAACTACATTCACCGTATCGGTCGTGGTGGTCGTTTCGGTCGTAAGGGTGTTGCCATTAACTTCGTCACCGCTGACGATGTTCGCATGCTCCGTGAGATCGAGCAGTTCTACTCCACCCAGGTTGAGGAGATGCCCATGAACGTGGCTGACCTCATCTAAACCCCCTAACTCTTGACGTCTTGATGCGGTTTATGATCGCAGAATCTGCGTTAAAAGTGGCTTTCTGCGTTTCCGCCTGCAGTGTGCCGGGCAAGTGACCGGGGCTATGCTTCCGCATATTGAGTTGACAAGTCGACGCCCCTTGATTTTTCTCGGCCTTTGCTATGGTTCCTATGTCTTGCACTAACGGAGATGAGACACGTTTGCGTTCACCTCTTGCTTCTCCGTTTTCCCTTATTTCTTATGCATTTCCCTCTGCTTTTCCTTGTCTGTATCTAGCTCGCTCTCGTTGGTTAAGGATGCTTCCTCTTCTCGTACTTGATCAATAGAACGGGCCAAAATGTGACATGTTCCTCAGGGCGTTGTCCTTGAATGATATTTAAATTCGTATTCTTTCATGGATATCTTAGTGTAAGCTTTAAGTTCTCATCTTTTCGATAACTGTTGTCTAAACAGCTTTTAGTATTCTTTACTCTTGCCAGTGGCATACAAGCGTAATTCGAGCCCATTCAACGGCCGTTAAGCCTCTATTATCATGCGATACGTTTATTCCTAGGTCTTTCGAGCAGTTCCAGTGTCTTAATTGACTCTTGATCTATCAATATATTTGTCTTCCTACAGATATTGAGATGCTCGGATCATATTCCGATGCTCGGACGAGCGAGCCGACCTCGTGGTTGTGTGATATGTCAATTCTCGGATAACTAGCTGCAATTTAATGAATAGTACCGTAAAAGACAATCATTGAGTTCTCCACTATCAGATACATAGATGCATATCTTCCAATCTCTTTTCCTCGTTCAGCATCTCTCTAAAGAGTGGATAAAGATACAAGCGGTCGGCGCCGTGGGAGTTCTCCGCATCTTTCGGAGAACACCCGAACCTCCGGCCCTGCCACGACATATCTTTCCTTAAATCCTCTTCTTTGTCAATCGCATAACCCCAATTCCCTCCAAAATGGCTTCCGTCCGCGCCAACTGCCGCAAGGTTATGTGCATCGGCCGTAACTATGCGTGAGTCTCCCTGTCTCCCCGCGCCCTGTTCCCCTCGGGAGTTCTGACACCTCCGTCGCTTTCTCTTCTCTCGGCCACAATTGCTAACAGCATGGATTGATAGCGATCACATTGCCGAGCTCAACAACACCGCACCCAAGCAGCCCTTCTTCTTCCTGAAGCCCGCATCATCCATCCTCGTTCCCGGCGCGGGTCCCGTTCTCCGCCCCAAGGGCGTCAGCCTGCACTATGAGGTCGAACTGGGTCTTGTGATCGGCAAGACCGTGCGCGACCTCGATCCCAACGATGAGCAGGGCGCATTGGATGCCATTCAGAGTGAGTACAGCATTCAATCCGGATTGAACGGGTAATACCGCAGTGTCCACCCCAGCGGTGGACCGGTGGACCGGCTCAAGCAGCAAGTCGCTAATCAAACCATTGCGCTAAACAGGCTACGTCCTCGCTATTGACATGACAGCCCGCAACGTCCAAGACGAGGCAAAGAAGAAGGGCCTTCCCTGGTCCATTGCCAAGGGCTTCGACACCTTCTGCCCTATCTCGCAGGAGATTCCCAAGTCGCGCATCCCTAACCCGCACAGCGCATTCCTGCGTCTGAGCGTTAACAACACCGAGCGCCAGGCTGACTCGACTAGCCTGATGCTGCACCGCATCCCGCAGCAGCTGGCGCATATCTCGCGCGTGATGACCCTGGAGAAGGGTGATATTGTTCTTACCGGTACGCCCAAGGGTGTTGGACAGGTCAAGGCGGGTGATGTTATGAAGGCGTCGATTGAGGTTGACGGGAAGGAGATCGAGGAAGGACGGATTGAGGTTGAGGTTAAGGACCGCGAGGGACCGTATGAGTTCAAGGAGACTTAGATTGACTTATAAAGACTAGAAGTATATATGAGATCAACATTTGGGATCCAAAGAGTCGGTATTTCTTCTACCGAAAATAAATCCAGCGACATACGAAATGAATAATGTAAATAAATCCAGCGAGCCCCGAGTGCCGATATCAATCTCCTCCCAGCTGAAAAACGGACTGCGAATAAGTGCGGGTATGCCAAGACATTGCACTCTTCGGCTCTGACTTCCAAGGACACCAAATATTTCTCTCGACTCAAACATCAAACACATCAAAATGCAAGTCGCAGAGATCCTCTCAGATATCAATTCTCTCCGCGTCTGCGTAAGTATCCTGCCTCCTTCTTCACGGCTGCCCCACTACAACAAACGCATCCAGTACTCCACCAGACAATGACAATGCTAACAACCTGGCACAGGGTCATAACGAGGCCCTGGCACTGGTAAATATGCACAAAAATGGCACAGCCTCGGATTCAACCAAGTCCGGTAGCGCATTGGCAGATCAGAGCCCGGCAGACGACAAGGCCGATCTTCGTCGTGCAAAGGAGCTGGTTGAGCTACACTATGAGGTGAAGGCAAGACATGCCAACGGAACCGTTGATGAGGGGCTGAAGCAAGCCCGGCAGGATGTCCAGCGAGTTCTGACGGAGCTGTCGACTGTCTAGTCACGGTTACTGGGATTTCTTTTGTTGGATATGGGCGCGGGCGTTGAGGATCGCAGTTGCTTTTTTTTTCTCGTGATTTATATGACCGAGTGCATGGATTTCGGTTGACTGTTATCTCATTGGATGCCTGATGACTTGGTCTTTACCTATGACATTCTCATAATGCATACATGCCCCCCAATCCCTCGGAAGGGGAACTGTGAATGACTCAATGAATTTATTGCATCTACATCACTCACAACTCTTTCTGTACGTACTGTACGATCTGGTCATGGGCAACTACGCGTCCTTCGGTCGTCTTGCACAAATCTCCAATGGCTCTAGCCCGCCTCTTCATTCCTTTATCTTTCAACACTCGCAGCAGGGCCGAAGACAGCTTCGATCCGTCTATACCCGGTGCCACATTGCGGCTTCCGTGTAAGCCAATGCCTAGCCACTCTACTCGGGCCGGGCAATCGTATGTGTCGAACCACTGGGGCAGAATGACCTGCGGAACACCAGCCCTGGGAAGAGGCATCAGCACTTTTCTTTCAATATGTGTGACCCCAAGTATAACCTACTTGCACGCCTCGAAAAATGAGTTCGCTCCTCCATGGTGGACATATGCAAGTATATTGCCGCCTTTCAAGAGAGATATAATCTCCGGCTGGATCCATGGAAAAGTCCTCACTTTATCAGAACTGACAAGAGGTCCGAGAATATTCTTGACCGTCGGGGAGCTTTCCCAGTCATATTTGAGCTTCCACAAGACCTGCATATTAGGAAATTCGCGCAACACCGCCTGCATAGCCATCGACATCTGCATTGCATCATTTTCTGGCGCTTGAACATGTGACCCTAGACATATCAGAATTGTCGGCTCCTTCAACCATGAATTCAGTGCAGGATCGCTATCTGCAAGCGACGGACATGGCCGGAGGATCGGACCGCAGCTGATGACATTATCCGGGACATATAACGGAAAATCCATTTCTCGGAACGAAGGCGAGAGATGCAGATGGTTTTCGCAGTAAGGTGCCACGTGAGGAAAGACAGTCTGGATCCCTGCTTTCTTTCGAATGTCCAGAAGATCGCGTAGGGGCTCGCCCAAGCGAACCATAAGCCCGAAGCAAAATACTATGTATATATTTGCAAGGATCAATCTCCATGGAAGGGGGTATGGATACCCCGACCCGGTGCTGAACAAGAAAGTAAGCTCGATACTCTAATTCCAAGCGGAAGATATGATTCGCTCACAGGGGATATTTCCATAAAAGGCCAGCTTTCGGCTGGATAGTTACCACTATATCTTTCAAAGGCACAGGCCAAAGCATCACGATTCGCGTGTCGATACTGCGAGCGGCGTCTAGTCCCAGATGCAACAGTGGATCCGCAACCACGACGACCGGACGGACATCTTTCAGAATCTCCAGACTGCTTCGATAGGACCGTATATACTCGTCAGGCTTCCAGCCTACCACAGAGATGTTGATGATGTTACACGCATCACGCGTGCCAGCGAGCCCTGGCCGATGACATATATTTGGTGTTGTACGGGTCACGATCTCGGACAGGGACGGGCCTGCGATTGGATGGAAGTGGATGACTTGGTCGTACTCCGCTTTGTTGTTTATCGCTTGCACGCGTGCTGATAATTCCTCGAAGGAGGCGATGTGCACTTCGAACTCGCCGCGGTGCAGGAATTCTTCGGCTACTGCGAGTGCTACGTTGGATTGTCCATGCTCTGGGCTTGTGAGGAAGAGGATGGTCTGTTTCGGTGGTGACATGGTGTTCTTCTTTTTCGCCCAAGTCGAAATGAAATAGGTTGTTCCTGACCATGGGTTTTATTTTAAGGGAACATCTATCCCACTATTATAAGATTGCGTTGTCGCATTCTATGAATACTAGCCGATGTATGGTTACTCACGGACGATTGAAGGGACGAAAAGGGGTACTAATGGCCTGAGTTCTTTCATGTTGGTTCAACAGGGAAGGTAGTAGCCGATTGTCTCGTAAAAGGCTTAGGTTTAGACAACTGGCTTGTGTACCATTAGCCATCCTTAATGAGAATGTTTACTCCTGTAGTAATGGAAACATGGACCTCAGATAAGTAAGAAGAAATGAACGAATTAATGGTCTATATCCAATTTTCGACCCAAGAATCCAAGTTTTCTTAAGCAGCCAAAAGTGACGGCCAAGCCGACCAAGTTCAGTGAGAGCAAAAACCAGAATGCAATCCGATAACCGCTCATCCATATCTCTGGGGATTCTAAAGAAGTACTCTGGTCAGGTTTCTGGAGTAGCTGTGTGCTGACATCGTTTGAAATAAGCGCCGTCAGTGCCATGCCTACGGAGGCTCCAATCATTGCCACAGTGCAGAGCACTCCCATTGCAAACTCTTGAGTTTCTGAAGGAAAAGACCCGGCGACCAGCATTGTAGCAATTGGGATAACAGTATTTGGCGCCACGGAGTTTAATGAGAGGACGGGCATTGCATATTTCCAGTAAGGCCAAGCTGGGCTCAATGTAGCCATCAAGATTGGGGAGAGACTAGAGACTGCTATTGCAATGACGAGGATCTGCTTGGCTTTAACACGAGCCAAGAAACGTCCAGTGAGCAGACTGCTCAGCGCGGCAGCAATTGGGATTGCCAGATATCGGCAAGAAGATTGTAGAACCGAGAGCCCTTGTACTCGTTGGAATACGAAGATCATAAGCTGCGAGGTAGAGAGAGAAGACGCGTAGACGAAGAAGATAACCAAACCAATGGAAAGAAAATGGCAGTTTGTCCAAAGAGAATTCTGAATGTGTTGTGTGCTGTCTCTTTCCCAGCAATCCTGCCAGAACAGGAAGGCAAAAACGAGAATCCAACCAAGAGCAAGAGGAACGAAGAGGCCCGATCTGCCAATGTTTTGCACATTGTTTGTGATGACGCTAGGTATTAATCAGCGTTCTGTAAGCATAGACTATCATCGAGAGGAAAACGTACGCTAATGCAGAGAATAGAAGTACCATCAATGAACCAGCCAGCAGAGTTCCAGACCAATCGATATCTTCAGCCAGTTCTGTCCATGGAATGTATCTTGGTTCTTCGGCCTGTTGGGGAATCCTCCAGAATGATAGGAGAAACCCAGATAGGCTCAAAATTGCGGCGCAATGAAAGCCCCATCGCCAACCAACAGTCTCTGAGAGTATTCCACTAAGGACGATGCCTACCCCAGAGCCAATATATTGACTTGCACTCGTACAGGAAAATGCCAAATTGCGCAGCTTACCAACTGGAAGATTTTCCCTGTGAATGCTCATTGCAGAAACGAAACACATTGGGTAAGCCACGCCGGACACAAATCTGACAGTAATAAACTGCATGCCAGTCCGGGCAAGCCCACTAACCACATGGCAAACAGTCTGTAAAAAGCATCCGCACAGAAATGCTCTCCTACTGCCTAGAACATCTGCTAAAGATCCTGCCAGCAGGAATGTGCAACCTTGAGCAAGATAGTGCATTGACACTGGCCTGTGGGGTTGTGAGCTTGGCATGTTCTGTGTAACCAGATAGAAAACTGGCCGGGGCATTGAGATATCTCTCACCATAATTCAACTCCGGGGTCTAATCCGAACTCGGATGAGAGTTGTGTGATATTGAGGGCGACGAGGTTGTTTATTGCACTGGCAATAAATAATACCGAGGCAGTGCAAGTTATGATGGCCAATCCATGTTGAGAGTGGGTTTCGGAGTGGGTGAATGGGGACCCGAGAAGCGGCTGATCCTCGGGGATCTGGGGATCATCTAAACAATCGTATTCCAACACGACATTAGGCCTATCTGTTCGCATCATTGAATCTCGAGATGTTTGACATTTGGAAAGGAAAATAAAAGCGAAGAGCTGAAAGTACTGTACTTTCATTAGCCAATCACATGCTGGTCCACTTTTCAGGGTCCCCTTACCTGAGCTGCCATCTCATTGGCTGGTTATTTTACGCTTCTCTGTAATTTTCAATAAGTTTCTGTAATTCTCAGTAATTTACTGTATTTTTAGCCTCCCAAGACTAGTTCTAAGACATTGCTAGTGACTACCTCCATGTTCACGGGGCCCATGTGGTGCCAACGGTATTTTCAAATATGACTAGTTAACTGAAGGCCAGGGACAAGACTCAGTATAGTTACTCTTCAATGCGCAAATCATCCCCAGAGCCAATACTATGCTATGCGTGATAGAGATGGCTCAAAAACGTCATGAACATTCTACAGTCATTCTCTATCAGTAGTTTTGCTTGTCTGAATTACAGAACCAATCCCATGCTTCCAGTCATTATGATGAGGAGGGACCAAAACACAACGCCGCTGCAGGCTGGACACTTATACACATGCTCGCTTCTTCTGTATGTATAGTTCAAACGAAACCGTAGACCTTCGATCGGCATTTCGTCCGTCTACTTCATATTTCCGAAGAGTGACGTTGAGGGAAAAACGCTTTCGACCTGGGAAGGCGCGGGCGTCTGCAATATCGGGTCGCACCAGACGACAATCATTGGACCAGTAAGTAGGTACATCAACTGGGGGTTGTCCTCGGGTTACAAGATTCAAATACAGATCTTCGAAATGATGGATTCGCAGTTCTTGGCTTGGCGTTTGTCCCGCCACGGCTGCCTTTGTTAGACATGATCGAATGTCATCCGCATAGTCTTTGTATTCATCTGTTTTGCTCTTGCAGCGCACTGATCGCAATAGCATGGCGTTTTCAGCTCCGATTCCAATCAGGAATACAGGTAGACCATAGAACGATCCAAATGTGAACGTGTTTAGACCATAAAACGTCCGGCGTGCTTCATCATAAATTTGACGGCTTACAGACATAATTGCCAGTGGATTGTTGATGGGGTTATGTTGCATCCAGGTCCCACTTCTGTGGGGGTCAACATCTCTGTCGCGGACACGTTTTTCAATGTATATTTCGTCGAAAGAGAAGAGAAATTTGTAGACTATCAATCGCAACTCTAGTCAATCAATGTGCTCGAGTTAGTCAAAAGATTTCTTTGAAAACATGCATACTCGCAGTGAGACAACCGGTTACTCGCCGAATGAATAAGGGGACAGAGCGGTAAAAGATAAACAGGATAACGTACCTAGGGGAAGATCGAGGAACGGAAATGGCTCTTCGCGAAGAAGAACCGTCTCTTCATCAAAGGGAAGATACCATGAATGGAGATGTCGAGGGCCATTTTTCGTTTCTGAAGATCCAGGTTGATATCCACAGTGGCGCCGATAAAAAACATGCTCAATGAACCGGCAGCGAGATATGATTATCTTGGAACATGTCCAGCATTTGTATTTGTGATCTTCACCTGCCTCGTAGTGTGAGTGAAGGCGCTGAAGAGTTTGATTGATTTCCAAGATGTCATGGATTCCGTCGGCCGGAAAACGCCAGGCGCCAGTGTAATTGTTTAAATGATTTCGAAGCGCGGTTTTGTTGGCATATCGCTTCTGACAGAACTGACACACCTGTGCACACCAAGGCATGTTGACCAGATGAGTGTAGAGAGAAAGTTCCACAGATGCGCAGGCGTTGATAAGCCAATCAAATATTTGTAGGCAGCCGGGTCCTAACTAGGCATATAGACCTTTACCGCCTTCTTGATATAGGTATACAACTTGGTAACCAATATAATTGCCGGCAGATTATTGATCGGAGCACACTTTTGCGGTGTGACAATGCTCGGTGAGAACTCAAGCTATAAACACAATTTGTTACTCAAGATGCGTGTCAAAAGTCCAGGCTGTATGAATAATACGGCACCGAACTTCCAAAGTTCTCCTGTTGGCTTTAAATTTTGGATCTGGTAAGCCAACTCCTTATCCCTTTAGAACTTCCCCTGGAGGAATCCATTCGGATCTAACCGACTGGTCCATAAATTGTGGGTCCGGTTCGAATCGTGATGAGCCTAAACCGAGACCTCATTCACCTCTCACACCAGACAGTGATGTACGGGCTATATCACTCGACAGGTGCAAACATATTAGAATTCTTCTGCTTCTACCTGGTTCAGAATGTGGTCCTGCCGTTCTCATCATCACCACACGGAAAAGCTCTCTCTTACGCTACCTATGCATTCCAGGGATGATATGGATCGCCAGCCGTTTCATCCGTCCTTTTGGCTCATCCGGCAGTCCAACATGGTGCCAGGCCATAACACAACTTGTCATTGCGACTTTACAGGCAACAAACCTGTTGTTGCTTAATCCTCTAGTCAATTCAGACATCTCGCGCGACGCAAAGAGCACTCGAAACTTCGGATCTAGGTTGCTAGCAGCATTTCGCTTACTTACTGAAACCCGCGCTGTCAATACACACTGGCAGGTCAAGAATGTGCCCTCTCATCCAAAGTATTATCTGCGGCGGGGTATGCAGGTCCCAACATGGGGTCGATTTTTACTGCGACAGGTAGCAATCGTCGCATGGCAGTGCTTAGTGCTAGATATCGTGCAGACAGTCTCGATTCAGCAGGCTAGGGAACATGGTCTTCATGAGCCCGCGTCCTTGGAGGTCAAATGGATTGTGCCGGTCGGACAATGGGCAGAGCGAATAGCTACGCATCTGTCTATTTGGTTTGTGGTAAACCGTCTAATCGGTGATCTTGCATATCGAGTACTGTCGATATTTTTCGTTGGAATGGGGCTAGATTCCCCTGCAGACTGGCCACCAGCTTTTGGGAGTATGGCCGATGCATTTACATTGCGCAACTTTTGGGGGTAAGCCATATTTATCTACTAGGATGGCATGATTATGTTAACGTATTTCACAGGAAATTCTGGCATCAATTCATGCGCCAGCCCTTCACTTCTATCAGTAACTTCATCGCGCGAGATGTTTTGCGTCTTACCCGATCTTCAATGCTGGAGCGATACACCAACATTTTCATTGTCTTTCTTATCTCCGCAATGTTCCATGTCATTGTTGATATACTGCAGAGCGTTCCGATGGAAAGATCCGGCTCAATGCCATTCTACTTATCGTTTGTCTTTGGGATAATGCTCGAGGATGGCGTGCAAAATATTTGGAAACGGGTACAAGCACCAGAGAACTGGCAAGAGGAGGTAAAGCAATCATCAGGTATTGTACCGCTTTGGAAGAGAGCCGTTGGAATGGTATGGGTCATGTTATGGCTTGGGATCACCTCGACATGGTACTTTACTCCCATGATTCAATCCACGAATGATGATCTGCGGGTGATTCCTTTCAGTGTCGCAAGATATATCGGCCTCCAGCCGCTCATAGGTATTGTCCTGGGTAGTGGAATTGGCATTGCACTTATGTTTGAAGTTGAGCTATGAGACACACAAGCAACTGCTCTCAGAACAAGGATACTGATCGCCGGATAGTTCACCGCTTCATTCAAGGCCTGCAAACAGGGTTGAGTAACCTTTGACCTGTGATTCAAGAACAACCATCTCTATCATAATTCCACATGAAGATGATGTGACTCATGTGTCCTTGATGACTACTCCGGGAAGGGCTCGTGCGCAATCGCATGCCGTCCCCTTCCAAGTTCTTCCGTTCTTCACGCTTGGAATGAAATTTTCAGTATGCCACAAAGATCAATCTCAAAGTGTGATCACACGTGTGTCTGTTTGTCCTCCTCTCCGCATGCTGCTGTAGCAGGTTTCAGACGACAAGGCCAACGGCAACGCCTCGCTGCGATCAAAGCAGACAACCAAAGCTTCCCACGAGAAGACAAACTCTTACTTGAAGAAGACGACAGAGCTTTTCCTGCCCCTTTGTTGCTGCCTGAAGATGATCTTTCCGGAGATTCAGAAGACCCGCAGAGCTTTCAAGACTGGCTTGATGAGGAAGACCGCAATCCGGTAACCGCAAAGCAAAAAACGATCTATGTCGTTCCATCTCCTCAGATTGATGCAGATGTTGACTTCATAAAAACATGGACGACACCAAACTGTCCAAATCATGAGCTTTCCACAAAACCCCCTAGTACGAAGGACGTCCAGGACTATCTGACTGCCTTCTATCACGGCCTTCCTGTCAAGATGATGCCACCATCTACCTTGCGGTTTATTCCATGGGAAACCGCTAAGAAGAAACCTCAGAAGAAAACAGGCCTGCAATACCTGGGTCTAAAATCCGGCGATGAGTGCGTGCGGATTCGCTCTCGTACCTTGTCAAATGGGGTATATAGGGGCCAAGTCAATCTAGACGATCTTCTCGATGTTGCCATCAGCATATTACCAAAAGATGCATATGCCCTCTTGATAATTGTGGATTTCGATCTCTACGAGGACGATGATGACGAGTTCGTATGTGGCCGCGCGTACGGAGGAAGTCGCGTTGCCGTGGTATCCGGTGCAAGATACAATCCCATACTGGATAATATTCAAGATGTCGAGCGTCTTCATGCATGGCCTGCATCGCATTGTGAGAAATATATGTCTGCATGTGCTTCGGCAGAACCAACTGCCAAGAGACAGAAAAGACCTCCGGTCAATAGCCGAGGATCACAAAAAAATTCGTTTTCGGAGCTTACCGGACCTGTGAAGGATGCAGTATCATTTTACCGCTCCCTCCCAGAGGTAGATTCATCGCCTTCATTACTGTCCGCACTCTGGCTGGGTCGTGTTTGTCGGACGGCGAGCCATGAATTGGGTCACTGCTTCGGTATTGGCCATTGCGTGTACTACGCGTGCTCTATGCAAGGCACTGCGTCTATCTGCGAGGATGCAAGGCAGCCGCCTTATCTCTGTCCGGTTGATCTAGCGAAGATTCTTTGCGCCACTTCAACATGTGCGTCGCAACGATATCGGGCTCTTCTGGCGTTTTGTGAACGGCCGGGTAACGGTGGTACACATTTCTTCGGACCGTTTGCTACTTGGATCCGAAGTAGGCTAGGTCATATCGAGGACTCGGCTTGAGTTTCTTGATTAGGATGCTACTTTTTCCTTTGCCTTGCAATGATAGAAGATGATGGTGGATTTTGGATTTAGGTAACAGAATATTTCTCACAGAAGTCAGTGGTACCTCAAAATATATATTAACAAAATCGTTCGACAACCTTGGAAGGGAACATTCTCTAGAAAGACACCAAATTCCCAGCAACCAGTCTTCATAGTGTGTACCGTAGTCCTCCATTGATAGAACCGACCTGAGACGACATGGCATGCAACGTCTCGTTTTGTCTTCATCGGTGCATTTCGGCAACCATTCGACATTATTTTCAATTCGGTAGTAATATTACTGCATCGGAATATAAATACAGCAATCACATGAAAAGACCGGGCCGGAACTGCAGGAACAGATCGGTTCCTGCTTCTTCCATCTCAGCACAACCGAGCCATCCTTCCGAGTCCTACGCGAGACCATTGCCATTAGTGATAGTTGGAGTCGTGTACCCTGCCAGCAATGTGTCCTAGACAGTGGGGAACTTGTAACCCATTAGTATGAGAGATTTATTCCCCGATGCACTTCTTTTCCAAAAGCGTGCCTACTTTCCAGATCGGGTGTTGTTTCAAGCTGGGAATTGGGGGCCATCGGCTTCACGATGTCTTGCATTCGGCTCAGCGCAACCCACCCACGGCAAAATTTCGGATGATGCTGCATGATGCTGCATGAAGGCATGAAATTGTTTATAGCTTTGAACTTTGAGGTGTTTCATGAGATCTTGCCGATCGTCAAAAACAAAAATAGTAACTGTTTCAAGGAGGTTGATCTTGCTGGACCGCGGGACTGAGCACTGGGCTGGGGTTTTCTTTCTGTTGATCGTAAGGTACATAAAACATCCGACACTCTCCGAGGGGGTGGGGAATAATTCGGTGCAACATATGAGAGATCGAAGTCTTTAATTTGGCGTTTTTACACATTTTGCGATTTCAATAACTAACTATCACAACCAGACTGAACTTTAGTAAAAAGCCAATAGATAGCTCGTCGTATCTATGGAATATAGTTCTGATATTATTCTCGGCCAATCATTCCGAGCGAAAGACTAACACAACTAAGGAGAGAGGCGTCGGACTAGTTGAACCTAACCGAATGGGGAACTTCATATTTTGGAATCATTTTCTTTGTTCTAGACCGGATGTTGTCTTTACCACTCGTATGTCCGATATTATTAAGAGTTGCGTTGGCAAAACTAGGATTATTGCATGGAGGATCAGGGGGGGGGGGGGCTATCGACTCAGGGATGACAACACGTACTTTGGATATTTGAGCTCGGCCATTTTCACCGCGATATTCGTAGCGAAGATAGGCTCCTGCATGGACTGATCGTGACAGTGCAACATAGGCCGGACAGCTGCAGCTGCAGCTGCAGTTTGCAATGCTGCATCTGATACCGCCGACCTCTTGGAAATCAGACTGAGCGCAATTTCCAACGCGCAGGGTAAGGTCATCCTTCCTGCTCAGAGGCTGTTTGTGGCGCTCGTGGGGCTTGTCCGCGTGGGGTGAGACATATTGGGCTCCTGCAGATCACTACACTACTTACGGAGTAATGTGTGGAGCATGGAAGAGAAGTTCAATGGCTAGGTTATTCCTCGAGCCCATTGACAGCCCCTGTTTTGCTGTCATGTTGAATGTCCTGGTGCAAGTATTAGCATGCAAGTACGAGGGACTACAATATACTCCGTACTTAGGGTTAATTTACTCAGGATGCGCTTTCACAGATAGTTCTTTCTCCACTCTGCAGACTGCAGGTCAACTCGTTTTGAGCATGTTCTCGATATTAATTAATATTAATCTATCTTTAATAGATTATTCTTATTTGTCTTGGCTGTAAAAGTGGAGTTTCTCCATGAACTGCATAACTTCATATTCCAGTTACATTTCAAGACGAAGTGGCGTCTTGCTAGTGTAGGCAACAAGACTGGAAGGGCCTAGATGCTATCCCTTGTTTTTGTGTTGGGTCTGTCCCAACACATATAACATGCTTCCACATCCTATCTATGAACTAAATCCATTCACGGCCAATATATAGTTCTTGTAATACCTCACAAAGATTAGACCAGATTTGAGTTGGTGGCTGACAGATTGCCCGCCACGCCGTGAATAGCCTTGAATCTTGAATTGACAGGTCTTGGTTGACCAGAATTGGACGTGTCCATCTTTGCCTGATGTGGTCAAGAGCGTGCATATTGTGCCGGGACTAATTCCCCGGCGCGGTGGGACATAGGAGAGTCGGGCCACTCGGAATGCCGCATATACTTCTTAGGTTCCTGAGGTTGAGATACTTGGATTTGGAAGCTGTAAGGCGTAGTGTTCTACAACTCTATACAACATACATCGTAGACATGTCAGAGTATGATATATTTCAGACGAGAAAGGGGTTCCAATCGCTAAAAAAAAGTGATCGAACGTTTCAACCGTCGGTTGATCGTGGTGATCTTTTTCCTTTTATGACTTGGCAGATTTCTTTTCTTGTCATGTTTTCTTTTTTCTTTTTTCGTTCTTTATGTCCGAATTGGATTTTGTACGGATTACGGATACATAGGGGCATCTTCCATCTCAATTCATCTCAATAACCCTAATGGAGCAGTTGAGATCCAGATTGTGGATGTGCGAATGTGATATCTTTTGCTCTGGAACCCAAAAATAAACCGGATGGAAGTCCACCATGCGGTAATGCACCTATTGCACCGGTTGTTAGCCTTAGAAGTCGTTCTCCACTTGGCCCTGAAAGGTTCCAAGTTTCTACCTCCAATATCCCGGAAGTCTAAGGGGTCGATAGCTCCAAATGTGGACTTGGAGACCGGGGTAGAGCCAGTAGAGGCTGTCCTGACGCGGTACTCCCAATCGACACCCGGAAGCCTCCCGGCTCACAGTTGATCAGGGGTATATAAACAACCATGGCGATCACCTCTTTGGATCTTCAATTGTTCAACTGTCTTTCTCTTTTTCCACTCTTTCCAGTCTATCGTTTTTGGCGGCTATTGCCTGCCTGTCCAATCTTTCGCTTCTGTATAATCCGTGTTCAGAAGTTATACTCCCAATCGCTTTTGCCCTATACATTCATTAATATACCACACCAAACTCAACATGCGTTCTTCACTTGTTATGCTCGCCGGTCTGGCCAGCTCGGCTCTCGCCTACCCTACCGATAGGGCTGTGGAGGCCCGTAACCTCGATCTCCTCGGTGAGCTCCTCGGCGACCTCACCCTCGACGTGACTGGTATCCTTAGTACCGTCCTCGATGGCACCTCCGTTGAGATCTTCGCTGGTCTGAGTGCCGAGGGTGCTGCCGCTCTCTCGGGTGGTGCTCTCGGCTGCAAGGCCGGTGCCATCCACGCAAAGGCCAAGGCCGCCCTCAAGGTTTGGCTGCGTCTCCACGCCGAGATTGACGCCACCCTCAAGACCTCCCTGATCGCCTGGTGTGACGGCCACGACGAGCTCGTCCTCTCCGCCGATGTCCTCGCTGCTCTGTCCGTGTACATCCCCGGATCTGCCAACATCGCCGCCAAGGGTCAGCTTTACGTGACTATCGACGGTATCTTCGAGGCCACCAGCCTCGAGTCTGCTCTTGTCCTGAGCGTTGCTGCTCAGACTTCCCTCTCCGCTTGGGTTGAGGCTAAGGTTGACCTTGATGTCGACATCAAGGTCGGTCTGAATGTCTGCGCCGCTGGTGGTATTGTCGGCAGTCTGTCGGCTGACATCAAGGCTTCCCTGCTTGCTTGGCTCAACAGCGCTGAGTGTGAGCTCAGCGCTGACCTCAAGGTTTCGGTCCTTGCCTGGATCAATGGCCGTGCTGGTGGTGAGCTTGTTGAGATCGGTGCTCTTGCTGACACTGCTCTCTCCACCGTCTCCGTTGGTGCCTCCGTTGGCATCCACGTCCTAGAGTCTGGCCTCCTGTCCGTTGGCGGTCAGGCCTCCCTCGCCGCCTTCCTGGGCGTTGATCTCGCCGTTGCTCTCGGTGCTGATGTCAAGCTCGCTCTCGAGGCATGTGCCAAGGGCGAACTCGCCACCGCTGTGGAACTTGACGTCCGCACCAAGCTCGCCATCTGGCTCGCCAGCTCCGACTGCTCTCTGGGCGTTGAACTCAAGGCTGTCGTCCTTCTTTGGCTCTCCTTCGCCGTCGAGGCTGATGTCTCCGTTGCGCTCAACCTTGTTGGTGGTGTCCTCGGTGATGTTACCGGTCTCCTGACCGATATCGTCGATGATCTCAGCGTCGACCTCCGTGGTGCCCTTTCCCTCTGCGCTGCCGGCGGTAGCCTCCTTGACCTGACCTTCAGCGCCCGTACTGAGCTCGCTGCCTTCCTCAGTGGCTGCACTTCCCTTAACATCGACGTCAGCATCCAGATCATTATCATCGAGTGGTTCACCGGCTGCAGCATCCCCGGCGCTCCCGCCGCCACTGCCTCGTCTTCCGTCCTCAGCCTGCCCTCCAGCACCCCCTACCTCGCCAGCACCTCCTCTGTGCCTTCCGGTGCCAGTGCCTCCGTTGGTCTGACTGTTTCCGCCAGTGTTCCCGCCGCCTCCGGCTCTGTCTCTGTTCCCTCCGGTTCCGATGCCACCACCACCCCCTGTGCCACCGAGACCTCGGAAATTGTCAGCTCGACTGTGATCCCCAACCCTAGCGGCTCCGGTTCTCTGACTGCCTCTATCCCTGCCATCGCCACCGGTACTGTCCCTGCTGTGGTCCCCACCGGCGCTTCCCCCACCGGCACTACCGTCAGTGGTTCCGTTCCTGCTGGATCTGCCACTACCGGATCTGCTACCACCATTGTCATCCCCGGCTCCAGCGGCTCCAGCGCCACCACCGTCACCATCCCCGTCACAGTCACCGGCACTGCCCCTAGCGGTTCTGCTACCACCATTGTGATCCCCAACCCCAGCGGCACCTCTTCTCTCACTGTCACCATCCCTGCCCAGGCTACCGGCGTTTCCCCCACCGGTACCACCGTCGTCGGTGGCTCCGTTCCTTCTGGATCTGCCCCCAGCGCCTCGACCACCACCGTTGTCATCCCCGGCTCCAGCGGCTCCAGCGCCACCACCGTCACCGTCACTGTCCCTGCCGAGGCTACCAGCACCGCCCCTAGCGGTTCCGCCACCACCATCGTGGTCCCTCACCCCAGCGGCACCGGCTCTCTGACGGTCACCGTCCCTGCCCAGGCTACCGGCACCGCTGCCACCACTGGTGCTTCCGGCGTCACTGCATCGGCCCCTGCCCCTACCAGCCCTGCGACCATCCCCAGCGGTGGAAACACTGGTTCCAACGTCACCGAGACTGTCACTGTTACCGCCACCCTTCCCTCCGGCGGTAACACTGGCTCCGGTAAGGCCACCGAGACCGTGACTGTCACTGCCACCGTCTGCGGCTGCGAGTAAAGCAGACACCAATATACCTGGACATAATTCCGAAGCCACGACCCTGAGGGCTCTCATATAGATTCTCCTTCATCAATTCTGTTAATTTTCTGCCTTTTTTGAGCCCTTTCCATGACAAGATGATTTTTGATAACACGTGGGGTGGTGGCTGCCCATCCCGATCTGCCGGCTCTCCGCCTCTGGCCTCTTTGTAGATATATAATTCTAATTCTAATCTGCTTCGGTGGAGATTGATATATTCTGTTTCTCATGGTCTGGTGTGCTTCTGTATGGTTACGGTCAGAGTCTTCGGATATCTTCAAATGGATCATATTCATTTCTTATTACTTCCCCATCTTAGATCTGAACTACACATGTCACTAACTAGTTGACTAAGGCTAGCTACAGTCTAGGAGAGTGTCACCTTCCCCAGTATCAACCTTGGAAAGACATTCCACCTTACAGTGTAACAGAGCATGTCGATCATGATAAAAGAATAATTGGAATGGTAAAGTACTCCGCACATGTACCGCGCTAAAACGCACTCATTTCGTTGGCGTAAATTTCAACGTTCAAGTCACACTCGTGCTCTCGTTTAGTCCTGCTTTGGCTGTGAGGCACTGCTCGGCTTCTGGGCAGACTGACGACGCATAGCAATACATCTCTCCCGGAGTAATTTCTCACGGAATGCAGTCGACTGTGTCCAAACAGAAAGCGGTTTCTTAGTCTGAGCGTTGAAGGTTCATTAGTATATCATTCAACACAGCAATTTGAGAAACAAATGACATGTGAATTGTTTAGACGAACATTAAGTAGGTATGAATCTGGGTAGTAAAGGATACAAGGTGGAGGTTGACCAGGAATCTCTATTCTCAATGACCAACCTGCTCAGCAACTTTTGTCTCACTGTCATCAGTTTTGGGCGGCTCATCAGCTTTCGGAGGGGTTCGGGTAGAGGAGACCTCATTCTCATCAGCCATCTTGCGTCGTTTGTCATCAGGGTTGTCTCTTTCCACAGAGAGCGGCCGCTTGCCGTCAGTATCCTTCTTGGGGCTGTTGCTGCGGCTGCGGCTAAGGCGCCGATCACCGCTGGGGCTGCGGCGTCGACGGTTCTCACCACGATCACGTGTACCGGTACGGTCAGGGGTGCGGCTGCGGCTGCGACTTAAGCGACGGGAATCGTGGCGGGCATAACGTCCAGACGGGCGGCGGGATCGCGAGCGAGATACACTGCGGCTGCGAGAGACGGAGCTTCGGCGGCGGTTTCCTCTGGGGGAACGTGAGCGCGGGGAACGGCTGCGGGAAATGGGTCTTGCTTTAACACGGTCACCGTAATCCGGACTGCTGCGCCTTCTCGCTCCTCCGCGGCGTCGCTCGGGAGAGACTGAGATGCTTGGGCGTTCGCGTCGTCTGTGGTGTGGTTCGTCGCGGTTTCGGCGAGATGGGGACGACGGCTTTGGGGTTCCAGATGGAGAACGGGTGCCGTGGGGAGAGCGAGAGGATCGGCGGCGCCGATTACCAGGTGGCACGTAGGAGTCCAAGTCGCGTCGCAATGGAGGCTCACGGAATCGGTCGCGGCTGCGGTTTCGGTCTCTGGGAGGCGAGAATCGTCTGTTGAAGTCGCGTCCTCGACCTCCACGGCCACCGCGATCTCCACGATCGCCACCTCTTCCTCCACGTCCACGGTCTGGTCGCTCGCGGCGTCTCACATCGTCCAGCTCTCGTTCGCGATTCTGGTCTTGTTCGCGTCGGCGACGAAGTGCCTCGCTGGCTTTCTCAGCCTCGAGCTGTAATGTAATTTAATTAGAAAATATCCAAGGTCGAGAGCACGCTTACAATCACCTTCTCTTGTATGAGCTCAAGCTTTTTGGCCTCCAGGAGCTCCTTCGGGACGCCCTGTGGATTGGCCTGACCGCTTAGGCACAGCGACCACAGCTCCTGACAGAACTTGGCGGTATCTTTGTCTAGAAATCCGGTGAGTTGGATTTGGAGAGATTTGATATCGGGCTAGAACAGAAGCACATGTCAGCAAACTAGGGTTGGGACACTAAATATCCGACGGCACCACTTACGTAGCGTGCCCCCTCAAGATGCGCGAAGCAGAGCTCGATAACGACGTCATCCTCGTTCCCCAATATCTTGGAGATTTGACTTGCAATCCATCTGTGGGCGGAGAAAAAGCAATGTCAGTAAACCGGAGATACCGAAAAAAGCCCGGGGAAAGTCACTTCTTCATAACTTCGATATTGACCTTGGTCATATCTACCTTCTTGCTGAACTCAGGGGGGAACTTAGTCCGCCTTATCAGCTTGGCATCTACGCTGGACGCCATTTTTGCTAGAATCCAAGTTGAGGGTAGGAGAGTCCTTGATGAGCAAACATAAGACAGGTATTCACCGTGTTGGAACTGCATTCATGGTCACTCGCCGGTGCCGTAGATGGATATTTCGCCTCCGAACTCGCCGACAGTCTGAACACAGTCAGAACATCGACATCCATTACCTACGTAGAGAAAAACGCCTCTTGGCTAATCTATTGGCCTATACTTGTCTGCAGTCATTTTTTTTATTCTTTCTTATATCTTCTTTGAAAAGAAAATGAGAAGAAAATGGTATGCTAAGCTGATTCTTTATCTTTCTCTCTTGAAGTATATATGTGCCCTAATGGACGAGCACTATGATTGTATGAACTCACCACTCTGTAGTACTTTTACAGCCATAGAGTGATAGAATTAATTTCTTACAATCTTGCTGCACTATGAAGGTCATATAATCTAAGAAGATATCACAATTTTGCATTCTTTGGAGTAGTTATATAGATTCATGGTCAACCACCCCAAAGCTATACTAGGCTACTCTTAATCCTGATAGCCGGAGAGTACGACAACGGCAAGTTCAGTCTAGTCTACGGAATAGACATAGCAGTAAGTGGAGGCTATCTGGCCGATCTCTAACTGCCCAAGGCTTTGGAATCACTTAAGGTACTGGACCACTTTTACCAGAGCAAAATGGGCTATTATTGGCTAGAGTTATGTCCATCTTTCGTGTTCAATGTTCTTTTCAAGCCCAGAATCAATTATTTCAATGTCCGCATGTTGTGGTGCAGACGTCGCCATAGCAACAACAAACACGTGACTATATAGCGCGCCCGCGAAGAAACCCCGAGCCTGGGCTTTCTCCAAGATCAACAAACAATCGACAACTTTGGACAACTTTGGAGGGGGCCGCATTGATTCACAACTTCAATGTAGGTATTAGCGGCATGGCATCCCCGAATTCCCTCCCAGCATACAATGAGCTGTACCGACAGCCACCCCGACCGATGTCCCGATCCGCGGTTTCACGCTCGGGTTCCAGACGGGTATCTCCTTCAACACAAGCTATGTCCAAACATTACTCTGGGGACAGCTCCGACGAAGAGGTCCCAGAACCTAAATTCAGCGCTTCTGTAAAAGCATTGTTGCATGGAGATGGATTAGGTTCTTCGCCTCATCTACACAAGGCACACGTACACGAACCTCGAATTGAAACATCAAGACATCAAAGCCGCTCACCCCGGAATTCGTCCCCACACGACTCATCTAATGGTAGTCCGGCCCCAAGAGTCGTCCGTGTAGGGGCTCTGTCGTCGAGTTCTCGATTCTCGCGCGAAGGCTCTCCATTATCAAATAGCCAGAGCGCAGAACCAGAGCACCATAGCCGCCCAAATGATTTTATCACTCCCGCCCCACGCCAACGGAGTGTTCGTATCAACGTTTCGCGCAGCAACACCCGATCCCCGGCCTCTGTCTCGCCTTCAGGAAAGCGCTCGTCGGAACGCAGTTCGGACGATTACTATGGTAGTGCCGAGCGCTCGGATAGTGATCGGAAATCGCAATATGAAGATGACCCAGCGCTACGATATGGCGTTTCTTCTGCACTGCGGGGCCGTGGCGGCGAAGAATTCGCTCCACACAGCTCATTACGTGTCAAGCGGGTTGGTCGGCTTGCTGGCACTTTCTTGAATGGCCCAGCCCGGAGGGGCGTGCTAAGACGTCAGAGCGAAGAGAGTAACGAGGAAAATCACCAATATCTCTCAGCTGATGGTGTCCGGGAAGATGTCGAAGGAGAGGAAGAGAATGCCGAATACCGACCTCGCAATCTAGCAAAGCCTTCATCCCCTAAAGTGTCATGGGCTGACCCAAGCCCGCCTCTTGTGCGTGAATCCAATCGACGAGAATATCCTCTCCGCCCTGCTGAGGTCGAAGGGCCGTTTTCGAGGTCATCTTCGCCAAAATCATACGGCTCAAAGTCCACCCCCGCTTCATCAGATTTGTCCTCTAAATCCTCGATTGCGAAGGAACAACCTGTATTCAAGATTCCTTCAATACCGGCTTTGCCATCGGTACGTGACCAAGAGAATGAACCACCACCAACTTTCCGGCGTACAAAGCCCCAAGGGTTGAGTATGCTGGATAAACCCGAAAAGTATCATGTTGTTTACGATACCGAGAAGAACGATATAGCAGAGACCCCAGCAACCAACTCTGCACGAAAGATACTTGCCACGCGAAGCAACAACACCCCCCATAGGGCCGCTCCTCCTCCTCCGAAAATGTCAGTCCTTGAGACTGCCACATCCACAGGAGGCGCATCGACATCACAATCACGAAAAAAGAAGAGTCAAGTCTCAATTAATGGCAAGCATTTCACTCGACTCGATTGTATTGGTCGAGGCGGTAGCTCCCGTGTCTACCGGGTGATGGCAGAGAATTACAAGATCTTCGCTCTCAAGCGTGTCAATATTGAAGATGTTGATCCAGTGACTTTGAGTGGATATAAGGGCGAAATCGACCTGTTGAAGAAGTTGGAGAATGTGGACCGTGCGGTGCGCCTGTTTGACTGGGAGCTGAACAATGACAAACATGCTCTTAGTCTGCTTATGGAGATCGGAGAGTCTGATCTTGAAAAGATTCTCACATACCGTTTAAACGCTGAAGATGCTGTTTTTGATATCAACTTTACCCGATTTTATTGGAAGGAGATGCTCGAGTGTGTCCAGGCTGTCCACGAGCACAACATCGTCCACTCCGATTTGAAGCCGGCTAATTTCCTCATGGTTCAAGGCCGGTTGAAGCTTATTGACTTTGGAATTGCAAATGCGATCCAAGATAATACAGTCAACGTTCATCGTGAACAGCAAGTCGGCACACCTAATTACATGTCCCCCGAGGCGTTGGTTGATTCCAACGTGTCCCTCGGTCTGCCTTCAAGTGTTGGAAAAGTTATGAAATTAGGAAAACCCAGCGATGTCTGGAGTTTGGGTTGTATTCTGTACAAGATGGTCTACGGACAACCACCATTCGCCAAGATCGCCAAATATTATGAACGCATCATGGCTATCCCCAACCCCCGTGTACAAATTGATTTCCCGGCCTTTGGTGTCGGTGGCATTCCAGTACCCCCTGGTCTTGTCCGGACTCTCAAGCGCTGTCTGCAGCGTGACCAGACTCTCCGACCAACTATTGAGGAGATGCTTGGCCCACGCGATCCCTTCTTGCACCCCGATGCCCAGCTTGAGGGTGCCGTTCCAGTCACCCAGGATATGCTTGGTCGTATCCTGGTCAACGTCGTCAACCACTGCAAGGCTCGCGGTGTGCCCAGAGAAGAGGAGCTAGCTGCATGGCCCGCAGGCTTCTTTGCAAAAATCAAAGCAGCCCTCGAAGAAGAAAACGCATGATAACCCCCAGCCGCTCCTTCACTTTATTTCCTTTGTCTTGAAGCCTTATCGGCCCTTTCCCATCCCTTCTTGGTTAGAACGACTTAATGACTGGTGTTGGATATATTAATTTCTTTCTGTCTTGGTCTGCTTGGTTAATTTGCGGGATATCTGATTGTCTGTGTTTCTTTCCATTGTCTCTTCTCTTTCTTCATCATCCTTCGGGTTGATTGTCCGACCCAACCACGTTGTCTTGTGGTGGGTATTTTGACGAATTTCGGTTTCAGCGCAGCGTGTGGATGTTCATTCCTGTATATGATTTCATTAGCCTTTTCATCTTTCTCCTGCATCCGGATGGATACTGCTTGAGTACCATCGTTTTTGGAGTGACAATAACTCCTCATTTGGTTAAGATGTTTAATTGACAAGCTTTGTCTATCTTCATTACTTGGATACTGTGTTTCCTATCCCTGCGTTTCTTATCTTGTGGGCTATTTGGAATCTGGATCAACCTTGGAAATCTTTGATCCATGATCTTTACAACGGAGCTGCTGCTTCTTCATAAAATCATAGTTGATAAATGCCTGACTATCTAAAAACTAGCTATGTCCATTAAGAAGCCAAACATGCGGAATACTTTTCGTTTGAAATCAATGGACTTGACTTTGCGCCATTAACACCGCCCAAGAATGAAACAGTCTTGAGACCGTATGTATCAAGAAAGGGAAATATAGAACTGCCTGAGCATGGTATCGAAGACAGGCAGGTGCCTGTCGGGAATGTAGAGGGAGTGCTTGTGGTCAATTTAGACAAGGAGGACCCTATTGCAGGTTAGTTTGAGATGTACATAAACAAGAGAACAATTTGATCGAAGCAACTCACGCATTAACACAGCCGTCGTTCTCAGGGGTGTTGGTAATCTGGGCCCATTTACCCCAGACAACCTTACCGGAAGTGGTAACGAGACCCAACTCGGAGACGTTGACTTCAATGATTGTTCCCTTTGTCAAAACACCTAGCTGGGTATAGAGAGGGTTCTGGGGGTTCTTCTTGACAGAAAGGATGGGGAGTTGCACGGTGACAGCCAGCTCGGGACTGAAATGAAAAGTCAATATACCATATCCAACAAGACAGACCGAGGGTGATTGTTCTCCCTCCAAAGATAAACATACTGTGTGACATTACACTTCTTGTAACGCAGACCCATGGGACGAATGAACCGCTCGTACTTGACGGGACGACGGGTGAAGTCGTTACCAACGAACGTAGGCTTGGTGATCATACGCTTCCAGGCCTTCTTGTGGGTCTTCTTTCCGGTGTTGATAACCTTGAACATCTCCTCCTCGCTAATACCCTTGACCTTAGGTAGGGGAACAGCAAACTTAGCAGCCTTCTCATTACGCTTGTTCTTGATAGCACTGGAGAGGGCCTTGGCGTTGGTCTCCTGTGAGCGATCGAGCAGGTACTGGGGTAGAGGGGTCTTGGAAGGCTCGTCGGGCGCGGCGGACTTGACATTCTTCTCCTCCTGGGCCTTGATGCGCTTCTTCATCTGGATCTTCTCCTTGTGGCGACTCTGCTGGTACAGCTTGGCCCGCAGACCACGCAGGTTCTGGGCATCGTGGGACGCCTTGTGTCCCTCACGAGCCTGGCGCTTGCGCAAGCGCTCATCGTGATCGAGGCGCTTGCCGTGCTGCTTCTGCCAGCGTTCGATATACCTGGGAAAATGTCAGTTGGAGATCGGGCGGTGGCTGGCGGGGAGGGACGAACTCGTTCTGAGGCTATAGGCAGAAAAAAAGTTAGTAAATGAAGAAATTGGACATTGAGAGGTCAGGAAATCATTTGGAGCTTACCATGATGAACGACGAATGAACAACAAGAGGTGAATGGGTGAGAAAGTTCTTGCCTTGAAGATCTAATCGAGACCGAAAAAGTTGTGATGCGGGAAAAGATAGCGAGCCACGTGACGCTCCTTATCGGTAAGGTCGTTTCTCGACTTCTTCGATTTATTCAGATTGAAAGAAGAAATACTGAAGAATGGTGGGAAGATTGAACATTGAAGACTACTGATTTGCTATTGAGGTCTATAATTCATTATCACAACATTGGTCTCTTCTCGCTGCAAACCTGCATCTTCAAGTCAGAGAGAATCGATCACGTGACAGTACGGGTGACAAAGCGGCCATTCGCGCAAGTTGAATTTCTCTAGTTACGGGGATGTCGCTCTTCTATCTTGAATATCGACCACTGCGAACCACTTTCACTCTCGATAATTGAGTATTGACAAGCGGTCAATTACTATGTTCTCACGATCTGCTCTACGGGGCCTCGCCTCCGAACTGCGCTGGACTGCACCATCTACAATTTCATCCGCAGCTCCCCTGCAGCAACGAGCATGCCTTCACCAGAGTGCATCTTTGATGAACTCGCAACCTCAGAGCCAGTCGGCTTCCAGCCACCCCGAATCACCTCTCAGTGCCACTCCCCGGGCGCAAAACACCCAACCGAAGACTCGTGTCATGGCTCCCACTTTTGACGAAACCATCATGACACCCCAAACACGCGCACACGTTCCCATCGCAAAACAACCCGTTGCCCCGACTTTCACCTCCCCTCTCGAAGTGACCAAATCTCTTATGTCACAGCTTCCCCACCTTGCCGGCCAGAAGCCGCACTACATCGTCGCTCAACTGCACGCACGACCATACCTCTTGACAGAAGGTGATCACATCCGGTTGCCCTTCCTCATGCCCAAGGTCAAGGCAGGCGATATTCTGCGCTTCAACCGCGCTTCGGCACTTGGATCCCGCGACTTCACAATGAAGGGCTCACCGACTATCGACGAGCGTATCTACGAGTGCCGCGTTCGTGTGACAGGTGTGGATGCGGAGCCGCTGCGCATCAAGGAGAAGACCAAGCGGAGACAACGGCACGTGAAGCAGGCCAAGAGCAAGCACCGCTATACGCTCATGCGTGTCATGGATGTGCGGGTGAAGACGCCGGATGAGTTGTTGGCGGAAGGCGCGGTGATCGTGGATGACGCAGAGGACAGCTCAGTAATTGAACCCCGGTCATAATTGGGTTGTTCGGTGTTTGGGAGAAGCTTTTGGGGCAAAATCTGATGCCGGACCATGACACGACAGTGGTTCGAGGTATTGACAGTACTAGTCGAGATATGGTCTGATCTTTGGGCTGTTGGTAATTGTCTTGCCGCGATGCATTGATATATTTGCGGCATATTGTACAGATAGATGGATGGCTGTTTTTCGTATGCATTGTATTCTATAGTATTGAACTTTTCTGAAGATCTCTATATTGCAATAGTGTAGGGCCAGTCACCGTCACATCAACCCTGAGTTTTATTCAAGCCCAATATCTCAGCATACACAATAGATTGGGGGAAACTGCTGGCATCGACAACCCTCACTCTGCACACCATACACATTGGCATATCATAGAGACTTAGAGGACCCAACGAAAGCATCTGACAACACCGAAAACGCGGTAGAAGAGAAGCAGCAGCAATGTCTTAGTATTGATGTCATTAGTGATGCTCCCTATAAACGTGATTATCAAAGAGCAACTACCTGTCTGAAGATTCAAACAGACGCTATTATCACATTATCACAAAGCGCTTATCCTACACTATAATCTCCTTGAACTGCAGTTTCTGTCTACAGATTTCCAACGATTTCTGTTGCATCTCGGCATATAGATGGAACTCATCGGCAACACATGCCCCAAGGAGCCGCTGGAAACCATCGAGGTCCGGATCCGCGCTCATTATCAGTTGCTTGGACTGGGAGACACCACCCAAGTTGGAATTGAAAATTCCTCCTGCAGATAAAGGAAGGAAGTCCTCGTATGTGATAGGCTCATAACTCAAGATCTTTTTGTTGAGTAGATCCTGAAGTGAGATTGAAGGAAGTTGCTCCTCCGATAATACAACGCTTTCGTTAACCGACTGATCACCCGGTGGTGTCAACCGATAGGTGAAATATCCCAGTCTCAGATCGTGAAGCTCCGATACACTATCGGGAAACTCTTTGAAGCGCTCTTCTAGTAGCCTGTCATAGGCCTCTCCTTTCAAGTCATCCTTCGCAGCTTCTGCATTGACTTGGTTCAAGATTCGATCATAAAGGTGGCGTCCTTCTCGAGTCAAAGCGTAGCCTCGCTGCTCCACTTCACCAAAGCGTGCGGTGTGGGAACCCTTCACATAGAAACCAGACGGATCCCTGAAATATACAGTTTCCTCCAGTGCCTTGAAGCTTGTCTGCCGCAGAAGGATTGGGCACGATCGTTTCGGCGGTCCCTCAATACGATCCTTGACAGGCATGCCGTGATCCAACATCAGTTGCTGTACAAGATCGATATCAATCGTCCGAGGCGTTAAGTGGTTAATATGGCAGTTGGGAAAAGAGACAACATCCGCAATCAGAGGATGCTCAGCTTTAAGCTGCCCATATTCTTCAAGGCTGACCGTTGCTTTTGGGTGCCACCTGAATGTCTCTAGACCATTACTGATGAGCTCTGTGCATTGATCCGGTGTCAAAAATCCCTGGCTCTCTGCGACATCCAACAGAGCAAGCAGTCTGGGCGTGAAAATATCTCTTTGCTCTAGCGCTTTCCGTGCTAGTTTCCGAGTTCTTTCTGTCAAAAGATCCATCCGCAAGACTGTCGTGAACACGCGAAATGGGTTCTTATCGAGCGCCTCTTGGGTATTTGGTCGGAAGGCCGTAGCGTGCATGGGGAATCCAGCGAGGCTGAGGTCATAGTAGCCTACTGGGTGCATGCCCATCACAGCAAACATGCGACGAATTGTAGCTAGCTCATGCGCTGTTCCTAGTCGGATTGCTCCGTGTCTTTCAACCCGATGCCGGGCGGGTAGAATGTCGTCTGGGTTTATAACGCGAGCACCGTCGATGTTCTGGCTGTTTTGGACTGTTTTTGCGTCTGCTTCCCAGACTACGTCAATCAGATCGCCGTAAAGAGGGACTTCGCTCTTGTACATTTCCGAAAGCTCATGGCAGAAGCGCGATCGCAAAGTGTTCTGATCGAAGGCCATCTTGAAGTTTGTGAATGCTGATCGGACAAATAGTGAGGAATGAGGCACGTTATATAAAAGAAGTATGTTATGATATTTAGTAGGAATTACATACAAAATGTACTATCAAAAGAAGACACCGCCCCGTCTTATACCTTGAAGGTGCATTGACTCAAGCTGATACCGGGTAAACATGGCGAGTCGCTATCTAACGGCTTCCGTCGGGGAGATAAAGTCCGCATTTGGCCAGTTGGACTCGATTTATATGTTTAAATATAGAAAGTTGGGTAACCGGAGACTCTTGCTTAATGGAAGATATCAACGTACGGAGTACTTACGGCCAATCAGTTTCTTAGCACGAAGGGTCTTGAACAGCCTCTGAACATCGTTCGCGCTATATGTATACAAGTTCCACTCTTTATAGATTATCTATTGTGAAAGAGATACCTCTTTAGACATTTAAATTTCAAATCCCGAGTATATAACTATTCTATCTGTGTTCTAGAGCCAAGATATTCATGATTGCCCGTGTGTACCTTTTATATGTAGATCCCTAATAGAAGTACACCGCACATTAGGCAAGAGTTTCCGTAGGGTCTCTAGCCAAGGACTGCGTATGTTGTACATGTACTACTCTCTAGTTATCTGATAACCTTTTATATAATATACTCCATACTAACTAACTATAACTTCGAATGTGCTGAGAGCAAAGTACATCGGATGTTATCCGTCGGAAGATCGCCTTCCGTCGGAACAGCATATGGGACATTGGTGTTAGTATTCAAATCATTCAAACTTATTCTTTAATAAGTAAAAGTCAAAGCTAGTTATAGTTAAGTAGACTTAATATCCCAGTATATTCCAAGTCTGTAACGGTAGAAAGTAGCTGTCCTTCTCATATGGATCATGGCTGGCTCCTTGATGTATATCCCAGTAGTAGTGAGATCAAGACATATGATTCTTTTTCTTTTCCCTTTTCCCTTTTCCCTTCTCCCTTCTCCCTTTTCCATTCTCTTTTCCAAACAGACAATAGTATCCAATGTCTTCCCCAGACCCCGCAAAATCCCCACGCGATGTGAAGAAGTTGAAGATTGGCGATTGGTTCGGTAAAGGGGTGTTCCACTTCCACTTGGGCCAACACCCTCTTTCTCATTAGACTACGGAGTAGGTCAGGGGAGATCACCTTCGCTTCTCAAAGGGCAGAGATCTATAATAAACATGGACGCGCCTGAAGGTAAAGCACGATGGGCCTCGCAACGTCGTGTGCCGCGGGCCTCGCGGGCATGCGAAACCTGCCGAGCTCGGAAGACCAAGGTAGGTCAAACTTGACCTTGAAATTGCAGTTTATTTTTGGCTGCCCTTTCGGAAGGCAATTCCACTCTAACAATTAATAGTGTGATCAAGCCCAACCCTGTTCTTATTGCGCATGTATTAGTCCCACGTACTGAAATGCCGAGGTAGTAGTTGACCCGGGACAGATCACTCGTTTGACTGCGTATTCCGCACATCTGGTGGGCGCGGAACCCCCATCGATTCGAATAAAAGGAAACGAGATCTTGCAGAATCCGAGCAAAGGTTGGGATTTTCATCAAATCTTTTTCCGAGTATCTCTGACCAGGCGCAAAGCCAAAGTAGCGCCAGGCCATCTCCATGGCCGGGGATATATCAGACCGAGACACCAAAAGGCATGAACGACCTGGAAAAGTCACTGCCGTATACTGCTTCTTCGCAGGCCCAGTCTCCAAGTTTGTTGAGGGGCCGACCTTATGCTGTCAACAACACGCCCAGATCAACGATCCCGTCGGCTGGGCGATCCGACGCTTCACAAAGTGGGCACCGCCCTCTCCGACACGAATAACTAAACTGACCACCTATATAGTGCCAAATTCCGAGCAAGGTGATGCTGCGTCAAGAGATGGGCTAAGCGGGGTCAATCTGCATACTAATGGGACCGAGTTCTATGGTAACTCGTCAAACCTGGCATTCCTGGGGAATCTATACGCAAGAGCACAGAATCAAGAGCTCAGATATCAAGATCGACCCGATGAGACTCCTCGACAAATCCCGGCGTCACCGGATTATACTAATCCTCGATCTCAGCCTTTATCGCGAGAAACGAGCCACAAAAGTAGCAGGAGGTCAGGCAAATCACAACTCTCCATCGTGAACTTGCTTTACAATGCAGATTATATCGGGCATCCTTCGCCCCAATCCCATGATGGGACAGACGTTGCAGCACAGAGAAGTCCGCCAGATGCAGATGGCCTCGGAAACAGGACCCCTCCAGTGAACAAGGGTAGATTTTCCTTTGCCTTTCAATCACAGCCCATATGAATTTCTGACCATAATTAACAGACCAAGACATCAGTTTAGAAGCTTTATTTCCCCGCCTTACAGAGAGTGCGCAGATGGAGATCGAGAAAACCTTCATCAGCAGCTACTTTGTGAACAAGCATTACATCCACCCAATACTTTCTAAAGGCGCCTTTATGCAACGCTGTGAAAATGAAGCATGGTCAGTTCCAAATCGCCAGGGACTTTTCCGAGGTACCACGAAATTTGCCGGGCTATACTTTGCGGTCGTTGCTCTGGGCGCGATCAATGCAAGCTCGAACGAGACCTCCTTACTACAACATTTCTGTCAGCAATTTGTCGATCCAAGTCAGACACGACGAGCTCGGAGGGGACCGGGATTCACGGCCCTTGACTTTGCGAAGTACTTCTTCGGCCTCGCAAAACGGACTCTGGGTGATCTTTTTGAAAGTTCCTGTTTGGAGTCTGCCCAGTCTCTTCTTCTTTTGGTACGTCCATGTCGATTTTACATCAGAAGGAGGCTGACAAGTCTTCCTAGAGTGTGTTTCGTCAAAATTCGTTGCAGCCCCATAGCTGTTATATGTATAGCGGAATGGCTGTCCGCACAGCAGCGGCTATTGGTCTCGGTTCGAGCATGTCTTCTCTGCCCCCCAGTGCGAGACGAGAAGCTAGGCGGACCTGGTGGTAAGCATGAACCTAAAGCTAGCATGAATGACAAAATCTAACGTTTCTATTTAGGTGTATCTACTCTCATGAGATGTGAGCGTCTATCTCGTGGATCGTACTCCCGAAGATGATACTAACGTTGATCCCAGAGAAATGTGTTGTTCCTCGGGACGTCTGGACAGCATGAAAGCGTTGCATTGTTACCAGACCTCCCTCCCCAAGCTAAAAGTAAGTGCCATCCTCAATTCGCACGGTGCAACCCTGACAGACCAGGTTGATGTCGATGATTTCGACCCTGATGCCGAAGACAATGACATAGCGATGATCCCGGCAATGGTTGCCCTAGCCCAGATCATGTCCGAAGCATCTCATCAACTGTACCACTCCATGCGGCGGTCAATGGCCGATAAGTCCCGTCTGGCTATGGCACTTGACCAGCGACTTCTTGAATGGAAGGCGACACTGCCGGCTTTCTTGGATCTAGATGCACTTGCATTGAATGACCCTGAATGGGCGTTCAAACAGAAATTGGTCTTAAGGCTGAGTGAGTTCCCTCTACACGATCCGTGCTCCGATTTAGCACATCCTAGAAAGAATCCTGATCGTACCATGTCTAGGATATTACAATACTCGAATCCTCATCCACAAGCCATTCCTTTTGGCAGCAACTGCAAATACAGACGGTTCCTCGCCAGACCTTTCTGCCCATCTACATACCTGCCTCAATGCTGCCCGGATGAGTATCAATATGCAATACGAGTCATTTATGCATAGGATCTACATTCGCACATGGTCAGCCACTACCATTTCCTCCTAAGGAACTACAATTAACAAACTCACCATTGAAACAGGTGGTACAACACAACCTACGCACTCTACGGGTCAATGATCCTCCTCCATCTCATCCTCTCAAACTACTCAGGCCTCCCAGACGATGAACTCCTCGAAGACGTCGAAAAATCCCTCGAGATCTTTTCCTCCATGGGCGATATTATCGTCGCCCGTCGCTGCGCCGAGATGCTCCGCGAAGTCCTAGAAGTTGCGCGCACATGTCTGGCTAGAAGACGGCGCTCTGCCTATGGAGCTAACCACAGCGAAGACAGCCAAAACCAAAGCCAGTACTCTAGACTCGGAGTGCCATATACCCCATCAACAGGAGTCTCAAATCCGTCTCAAGCAGCTGCAGATGCAACCACATCAGCGCGGAAGCATTCAATTCCAAATTCAACGCCAATAGGAGGCGAGGTCGGTCTACCAGCGGCATCATTTACACCCACGCACGGATTATCCCTCGACACCCCATCATCTATTATGGACCAAAATACTGATCCAGAGGACGGGGATTTCTTCTTTTCACTCTTCAGCAACGGCACGCAGACACAGCCTGATCGAACGCGGGCGGAGATGCTGGCCAATTTGGTGGATCCGAGTGTTTTGGAGGATTTTGCGTTTGGAGGTGGAAATGAGTTCTCTTTCTTTTAGTTGGGAGTATACCAAGCGTGTCAAATGAATAAGATCATCCCAGCCTATGTTTCTCCGTCGCTTATTACTGAGAGAAGACTGCTATTAGTACCACCAATTACAGCAAATACACTAGCACTTAGCAAACACAAGACCAAGGTAAGGGAAACGTGACCACACTTTATCCTCACTTTCACATCTCTTATTTCACCACACCACTACCAACTCTCTTCACTCTCTTCAACACACTCCTTCATCATCCCCCATCCCCCCCTCCCCCTCCTTAGCTACCAGTGTAACAACTGGTAGCATGTCCGAGTCATTCTAGGAGTATCTCATTCGAGAAGGGTCCCCAAATTCCACTTTTCTTTTCATCGATACGCGAAATGACCAGCGTATTTCGACTTCACGAGCGATATTCAGAGAGACCGATGGGCAATGGGTCATCCAAGTCATTCTCTAGGCATTTGGTCTGCCTTTCCTTGCAATCTACGCGGACTACTATGTATGTCATGGCTAGTGCCACCTTCAGACCGTATCTCTAGCTAATCATGAAAAAGCCCGACTGCCAAATGACACAAAGGATTCCAATCAATCTCATCCTGCGGCACTGGTAACCAGTGCTACATATATCTATTTAGGTGGTGCTGCAGCCGCGCCACCAATTACCCATCACCCATCATCACTTCGTTGGACCTTTTCAGCGATCCTTTCAGGTATGTTTCTTCAGGTCCTTTTGAGTGTCCTTTCAGATTTCCTTTAAACATCACTATATATTTACTAATGATTCACAGAAGCTCAAACTGATGATATCAATACGCTTGAAGTCGTCAATCGCCCGGATCGCACCCAAGACGTCTATCCAGTGACAAAGTCAGAACCTCTTGAGTCTTCCCTCAAGACCATCCAAATCCAACAGTCTAACAACACTGCCCAAGCGGGCTGCAATATGTTCAACCCTCTTCACGCTGGCCGTCTAGTACCAGCTTGCAATGGCCCACCGTTGTTATTGAAACGGGCTTATCCGAGAGCCTGCCATGACTTACTCAAGATCTAGATGATGGTTCGGAGCCTCTGAGAGAAGCACACATAGTGATTATCATATCTATCAAGAAGACCGCTGTTCATTTTGAACAATAGTGGCTTGCTCCACCCATGCCCCAGCCGTGCAATATGCAGCAGCCATATTCATGTGCTGAAGTTGATGTGACTAAAACTACAGTCGATGGTGCCCCAATAATAATACCATCCGAGAGTCTTGAGTCTTGACACCAACAACCCCGATAAGACACCTGGTGACGAAAGCTTGTCTCAGTGATATCACTGCAGTAGCTCCGATAACACACCAACACGCCTGAAGGCGACCGAACCTACCTGACCAAGACCAAGACCACTAGCACCAAGGATGAAGAGCTGTGTTGACCTACAAATGCCATACTCAGAATGGCAACCATATATAACTATCCCGTCGGACAAGTCGATTCTTGTCGTGTCGAATGTGAGTTCGTTTTCTTTCTTTTTCCTTTATTCATGAGCATTACTGACAGACAGTCGTCTTTACTAGGATCCCTCAGTCTGACTGGCCAACTATGATGGTATCCGCAAAACCCGGTCCATCTCTCTCTGGGGAGTTTGGCAAGTAAGGCCAACCTGATCGAGTCAGCATGGGATGGTCTGCCTTTGCCTGTTACGGTATCGTTGTGTTCAACCACACACCGCCACAGACGAAAACCAGACAAAGCTAGGCCATACGTGACTTCTTTCACAAGAGTGTTCTGATGAACTTGAGAGGATTGAAGAGCTCCGGCGACCAACAACCCATTGTCTAGTCGGGAGAAGCACTTCGTATGCAAGTTGAAAAACGAAAAAGAACTTCATACGAGCGTGAAGAGCAAGAGTTGAAAGCGTTATTGAGTGGTGTCGTCCTCGAACAGGATCGTCAAATAAAATCATAATTCATATCATCCACTCTATATACATAGGCTGTCTATAAACAATGGCGAAAACAAACCCCGAAACAAAGCAAGGCAAGCATAGCATAACAAAATCCAGTCCAACCCAGACCAGATACGCATTCATTCCAAAGCCAGGGTAATTCCGTCGTCGCAAAGTAAGTAGGTAACAAATTTTAGTGTCGCTGCGGGGCAAGGCAAGCAGTGCAAGCAGTGAGGGAGTACATGGGGGTACATGCACAACATAATCAATCATTTCAAATAGGTAAATCAGGCGCTTCATCCCAGAAAATCATGAACAAGATCAAATTCCGGAGATAACGCCGGAGCAAAGGGGAGTCGTGAGAAGACATCAACGAAAGAAAGAAAGGGCTGGAAATGAGGTAAGGGATGCGAGGTGGGACGGAGTCGAGAAGGTATATATGAAGAGAAGAGAAGAGAAGAGGTAGTTAGGAGAGAGGTGGACGGGTCATGATCATGATATGATCACAGGGGCGCCATAGAGGCTTCCCCTTCCCCATCCTCCATATCACTAACAGACGTAGCCGGCGACGCCAGGCCCGACATAACCGAGCTCGAAGCCGCGGTGCCAGCAGCCTCCATCATAGCGTCATCATAAGAGCTAAGCGTGGTAGGAGGCATGCGCGGCGGCGCATTCTTACCAGACAACGCCATCAGCTCGGCGATGCCAGGCTTCGCGGGGACGTGCTTGTGCAGCGCGGTGGCGTTGTCCAGACTCTGCAGGGCGAAGCCCATGAACTCGGCGTTCTTGTGGCTAACGCCTAGAGTCCAGCGGTACTCGCACAGTCGGACGCGGTAGAAGTCTGCCTCTTCGTTTGTCGGGGCGGTGATGCGGAGCAGCATGCCGAAGGAGCCGATGAGGGAGAAGTTGGTGCGGGCCGAGGCGGGCCAGAACGAGCGGAGGTGGGCGGGGCGCAGGCGGTTGACGAAGTCCATGGCGGAGATCAGGCGGGTTTTGGCTGCGGAGCGGCAGATGTGTGCCAGGTACTGGTCTGTGCCTTCGGCGAGGAGGGAGCGGACGATGCAGCGGTGGAGGGTTATTTCGGTGGCGAAGTAGGCGAGGTGGAGGGCGCCGTTGCGGGCGTGTTCGTCTGTTATTGTTTCGACGAGTTCGCCGGTGGAGGTTTCCATTTTGAGGGATGCTGGGAGGGAGGAGAACCAGTCTTTGAGCCGGATTTGGGCTGGTTTGGCTTTTTCTAGGATCATGCGTGTGTGCTGGTTTCCGGCGGCGGAGAACTCTTCGATGGCGTGCAGGGTGTAGAACCGGTCGAGGATGTCGGAGAGGATGGTGGTTAGTGCGACCATGTGGCAGAAAAGCAGAGGGCCGTGGCCGACGGCGGTTTCATCGTGTGACGAGTCAGTGCCGGAGGCAAAGGCGTCCGAGAAGTCCTGCTCCACGAGATCCTTGACCGTCCAGTTGAACGCGAAGATATGCGAGGGTCGGCCGTGCACCAGCGACGACCATTTATCCTGCATATACAACGCCCACGCGAGACGTTTCCGCAGACCTTTCTCCCAGGTCTCCATACGCCAGTTCGTGCAGTCCTGATGCAGACCCAGCTCGAACGCGGCCGTGACCAGCTGGCCGTTTAGCGATGCTGTAGCGAGAGTCGACTTTTGTGTCAGCAGGAGCCCGGCTTGGATAGTCGAGACACTGGGGAATTGCAACGAATCCATCAACAGCTTCAAGGCCGAAGCTTCCAGCCGTGCGGCATCGGGTTTGCGCGCCGTTTGCGAGGTGACACCGACGTCGACGAACTTCAATGTCAAGACGTAGACTGCGGCGAGGAGTAGCGGCGAGAGGCCACGGCGCTCGCGGTATGATTGGCGGAACACTTCCTCTATCAAAATCGGGAACGAGGGGTGCACGTGCTCGAAGAATTTCTCGATCAGTGTGGAGCCGTAGGGAGCGACCATGCTCTCGATGGCATCGAGTGACACGGCATGCGATTCAGGCACGGTGTCGACGACGCGCATGAAGGTGCCGTCGTCGGCACATCTCCGCACGCGCGAATTGGCCACCGTGCATTCGTCGTATTCGTCTAGCGGAAGATAGTCCAGCAAGGTGGGCTCCAGCTCCGTGGTCATGCCGATATACTGGGTTGATTGGTTAAAAAACCCGGGGCGAATCATGTTCACTGCTAGGTGAGACTCCGTCTCGGGGATACAGTGCTGCATTGAGGGTCTGGGGATTGTTAGGGCACGATTTCTTTCTACATATGGAGGCGTATATCCCCCGGTTGGAATGGCATACCGCTTAACGCCTTCTGCAGGCTCCTGGCCGTCCAACTTCCTCTTCTTTGACGGACCCTCGTGAGTGTGGGAGAAGGTACACTCTTGGCGATGAAAGTCGCATGAGTAGCATTTATTGACCATTTCGTTCATGGCACATCTGCTCTTTCTGCGGAGACAGGCGTCACAGCTGGCTCCATTCCGTGCGCGGGGGAGGGTCGAGTTGATGGAGATGGGGGATGGAGAGAGCACTGGGGTCGAGCCCGTCTTTCGGCGGAGATCAGGAGAATGGGTTTGGGAATATCCCGGCTGGAGAGTGATAACGGTAGCCATGTGGACGGTGGACCGGAGCTAGCCCTGAGGCACGGGCAAATAGGAACGGAGATCGAAGGTGATAAGGGTCTTCACGGAGCACGGAGTTGTGCTCCAGACGTGTAACTCCGCAATCTCTTGGGATTCTTTTTTCTGAATATACGGCGTCAGTCATTGGATCACGTCGTGATAAGACCGACACATACGCTTATCAGGGAAAACAGGTGTGTTATCTGATAATCCAGAGCCGGCACCGGAGATCAGAGATATATCAGGCGGATGAGCCTGCAAGTGACTGCAGCAGGATGAGATGTCGAATAGTTCGCTCCGTCATTCCTAGCCGTTACGAGATCTGGTAAGTGCGGGAGAAAGAAGGAAAAGAAGGAAATCAATGACATATCGACCTAATAGGTAATATAAACTATGGATGAATCCCGAAACTCGTTACTTTCCCGACAACCAGACGATCAGCTTTTTGCTCTCGTAACGGAAACCCGCCCGAGCAGCCATTGACGGGCAATTATGACACTTTAATTGTCAACGATAAGCGGTTCCCTTGCTGATTGGTTCTGAATGCAGACACTGCATTACGTACAGAATATTGTTAGGTCATCATTTTCACGTAGGGCATCCATGGAAGTGAGATTGAATTTGAGAAAACTGTATTTAGGACTAATTAGGGAGAATAATATATATCACCGTTACAACATATCTCCTTTCGTCCTTTTCCTGCGTCAATTGGCTTTCTGACTGGTCGATTGTCCAAGGATCGCCCGGGCCAATCAGCGGCCAGTGATAACGCCTTTCCACCGGACCAATCACCGTCCGTCCCATACTAAAGTCGCAGTAGCGCCCGAACTGTGTGGGGAGAACGTAATGTGGAGGGAGGCTAAGACTATGTACATACAACGTACTTATATGTGTAGTTATATACTCGGTGAACTATCTATGGATGTATGTTGTATATGCACTATATGTATCTACTCCGTATTATTCCGATTTCTACTGACCGCTATGCAATCTGATATGTAATACAATACATTAAAATAGATTGTACCGGAGTGGAACACCCCGGAGTCAAGATCCTGTTCCCCGGCACATGCTCAATGCTACTGTGGCGAACGGAAGAGCACGGACTTGGCAGAAGATGTAATAAGAAAGGAGCGGCAATGGTTGGCCCGGGAGGTTTCTATTATGAATCACCAATTCCCGAGTACCTATGGTCTGTCAATCCAACATCCTGCAATCAATGAAAAAAAAAAAAGAACGCCTTCAAAACTCCATGCTCCTGAAAATGAAACATCCACAAAATGCAATCCCCTGTATGCTTTTACTCGGTGAAGTTGCGCAGCTTGGTCAGCTCATCTAGCAATTCCTGCAAGTCGCTGTCCGAGATCTTGTTCTGGAGACTCGGGATGAGAGACTTGGCCTCCTCGGCATTGTCACAACATAAACTGCCTGTTCAGAGACCCGAGTCAGTCAATGCTATCCAGGTATCCAGGTAAAAGTACAATGGAATAATGTCTTGGCTGATGGGGCAGTGCAAATCAACTCACCCAGCTGTGACCGCTCAAACATCTCCAGCTCCGTGTGAGAGTTCAAAAGTCGCTCGACGGCCTTGATATTCTCCTCATCCTTGAACCGGGCAAACACGTCCAAGTAATCCAAGGTCTTGGTCAAGTTCCTGTAGATATCACAAGTAAGTATTGATATTCGACCTCGACGTCGGTCTGTCCACTCACTCCGGCTCTTCGTATTTATTCCCCCCGCGCCGCTTGTTCTCCAACACCTTGTGGATAACCAGTCGTGCTTCGGATAGCGAGAGAGTGTGTGTGTGTTGGTCAGCGCCTAGCTTGAGCGTGGAGGCGGCTTCGAGCTCGCCTTGTGGCAGTGCGCGCTTGCGGTGCGTAGGTGGGGGTAGTTGGACACTCATTGTGTGGTTTGAAGGGCGGGATTCCGTAAATTCGGATATGCAGCTTAGTGCCTTGAAGCGAATGTGTTCGTGAAAGTAACTTGCCCGAAGCTACTTCGTCGACGCCGTGTATTTGCTGTAAAGAGATGAGGTGACTTGTTTGGCGATCTCTGCAGTTGAACTTCCGGCAGTTCAAGGCGGTGACCCCGGTACCGCCTCATCAATACAATAAACTCCGATGGAAGGCAAATCGTACTTATTTATTACTACCAATACTTGATAGGTGTTTCTTAGGGTATCAGAGTCTTATTTTGTGGAAAAGTCCCAACGCCTCACATGCAGCTATGCAACTCTATACCTTCCGAAAAGCGACCTCCCGCGGCAAACGGAAGCTAGCACAGAACATCTGCTTCTTAGGACTAACCAGCCTCACATTGTGAATAGCGAGTTCCACTTCCTGGTTACCCTTGCCTCCCACACAGTCATCGACAGTGATCTTGTATCCGATCCGCTCAGAGATCCTCTCGCAGATATCAATGTGATCATCTACCTCGTCAGTTGAGTGTCCCGAGAAACAATAAACATGGACCATGGGCAGTTTCTGCTCCGTGTTAGGCGCGAAAATATGTTCCTCGCCAGCATAGAGCCCGGGGAAGGCATCGAGGAATTCAATGGCCGTAGCAGGCAAGTTCATAACATAGTGATTGACAACGGTAGGACGGGTGTATATCTTCGGCGCGGGTAGCGAGACCCCATTGCCTTGCGCGACCTTGCGCTGTTTCTCCCTGCTCACCTTCGGGTGGATAGTAACGGTAAGCGGCTCCGCACTCAGCAACGACCGACCCGACGAACGGATGAACTCCCGACCATCCTGGTTGAAAGCAGTGACGAAATCCTGCACCCTATTACGCTGGATAGCATCTTGCATGACTTCGAATCCGTGCGGGTTGAGATCGTTGGCCCAGACGAAGATCTTCTTCCGGCCTGCTGGCACGGCGAAGGGGCCAACGCCGGCCATCACGTCGCAGACCATTTCGCTGGGCTCAAACTTCTCGACCAGGCGGCGATGCTCGGTCTCCAGGCGGCTGTTCCAGTAGACACGGGCGTAGTCGAACCGGAACTCGCAGTCCTGCTCGTGCTGGATGACATTAAGGTCGTTCTCGCCTGCCAGCAGTTCGAATGGGAAGGTGCGGAACTGGCTGTGTGAGCCGACATCTTCGGTTTTATTGATGACGGTGCGGACGGTCGGGTTCTTGTCCATAAGAACCTCGGCAAGTATGTGCTTATATGGCAGGTATTGAGCGCGGAGATTTAAATGCACTGTTTCGTCAGTATTGGTTATAAAAGTGACTCAGACGAACATACAGACATGCCCCACTTGAGTGAAGCCTTGAGGAATCTCTTCCAGGTCCTCGGGAAGAATCGATGAGATTATCTCAGCTATAGAATGTTAGCATGTATACTGAACTGAGAGAACATCAAGCATACCGTACGACCAATGGTCATATTCCAATTCCAATTCATAAGGCCCCAAGGCGACCGTTCCCTTATTTACGAGCTCGTTGATAGTAGGCGACCATGTAGCCTTATCTATAAACTTATTAGAACCTCCATGGATGTACACCAAGCACATAGCCAATCCAGCCCAATAAACCTACCATCAAACTTCAGGTTTTCGCGCAACAACATAGCCTTCCACACCTTGCCATCTTCATCCTTCGCCTCGCGGATAGGGCTAATACGCGGCCAGAGCAGTATGTCGCGGCTCTTGACCAGCTCCTTCCGCACGTTCGAAATATCGCTTGCTTTAAAAATTCGGGCGACGGAGAGGGGCACGTTTCTGCGGAAAAATGACCGGTCGAGTGTGCGCATCGCACGATTCACAGGGGGTCGGAACATGTCGGCGGTCTCGTGGGGAGTAGCCTGCTTGGAAGCTTCATCTGTGGGGGTCATTGGAGGTAGAGTATTTAGTTTCGGCCTGTTGGTATTGTTCCTTGCTAGAAGCTCGAGGCGCATTGCGGCGCGATGATTTATTCTTATCAGCCACGTGACGTCTTATCTAGATCTATACAATCCTAACATGTGAGATGTAGGACGAAATCATTCACTAGCCTGGTAAAGCTTATATCTTCTATTGAGCATGCTAACTATATATATGGATGAAAGACGGTCATAATTCCCTGCTGTACAAAATGTTGAGAAGATAACACAATAATCAGGTCGCAAGCTATCATATCATAACAGTTCGTGAGATGGGACCAACACTGAGCCGGAATTATAGTAGGAATGCAAATGCTAATTGGCAGTATCCGCTGGATGTGCAATCCGATTCCAAGAGTGCCATCAATAGGGTTTCATCCCCTCAATAAGAGAACGATCCAGTTCCCTCTGAGCTTCCAGATTAGAAACACGGTCTTGCAGCTTCTTAATCTCGCCATCCTTCTTCTTCAATGCCAGCCGCGTCATATCCCGCCCACGGATAATCCCCCGTGTCTTCAGGTCCTGCCGGTTAAGCAGCGAAAGCACCTCGTCGTGCGCTCTGTTTGGCAAAACAACACTATGTTTCTCCAGGATATCGAGTAGACTCTTTGCAAGGTCCGAGGTGTCAAACTTCGAGTCCGCAGAGAGTACATCATTGTACTTGCTAGGCGTGGGTGTCATGCATAACTCCGCCGACGAAGGAAACATCTCGGTGCGCGAGGAGCGGGATGAGAAAGGCGTCGCGGGTGCAGACCGGTCGTAGGAAGACTTATCATTTGTGATTTCGCCCAATTTGCGCTTGCCGGGTGAGGTCACCGCGGCGGTGCGGGGGGTCTTGAACGGGGAGTCGGGATGGAAGTTGGGTTGCGAGATGAAGGTCTCGGTCTGGCTGGAAGAGAGTGCCTTGATAAGCTCATCGTCATCCGAGTCGTCGTTCCAGCCAAAATCATCTGAGGCTTCCGAGATCATTCTGGCTTTGGCTGTCTTGGGCGGCGACTTGAAGTTGCGCTGCGGGGTGTCGATAAATCGGCGCTCGGTTTGTGGAGTCATGAGTCCGTTGTTCATACGTCCTGGTGTGCGCTTTGATGGAGTGAGCGAGAAAGAGTCGGTTTCGGATCGAGAGTTGGCAAGAACGACTGCTTGTTCGCGGATTATAGCGTCAGCTGCCCACAGGAAGAAGCTGCATCGCGACTGTGCGCAAGTCCAAACTGTCTGTATGTCAGTCGCTAACTTTTTTCAAGCATGGGGATATCTTTCCAGGCATGGAGAGCCTCGGAACATACACCATTTCCCTAAGTTTGGCCCATGCTTCTTAGTTTCACGACGGACAGCAACCGGCCGATCTGCGCAGTTACAACACCAAAGGCCATCTCTGAAGAGGCCACGGTTCTGACGTGAGGTAGTTCTTGGAGAACCTGGGTATAGCTGAGGGTACGACATTTGCGACTGTTTTCCCAGATGTTGAAGAGCGAAGATGACGTTGTCGCCATGGAAACTGGCTTATCTCTTATCGAGACTCCAGGTCTTGGCATTATCAGACGATCTATAAAATCCTCTAGGTGGATTAACAGTGCATGAATAGAGGATACACTATGAATAGAACATAGATACAGAGAATAATATGGTCATCTATAATCAGGTTGAATAGAAGATATTGTTTTACATGCATTGTTGAGACTGTGGTTTGATCTCCACCCATTCAACACCGTTCTTGCCTAGTAAGTTTAAAGAAATCATTTGAAGTTTGACAGCACGTGCTGTCGCTTCTTAAAGTACTCACGCGTTTACTACTCCCACAATCAAATCCTCCTTCTTGCATACCCCTCTAAACGCGAAAATGAGTGCACCACGCACAACCAAAGAGGGACCCTTCTCAACCATCCCCAAAGAACTATACCTCGCGATATCTGAGTTCCTTCCATCACTATCAGACCTAAATGCGTTCGCGCGCACCACCACAGCAACCTACAGTCTCCTCAGCACAGACCTGTACAAGCGCGATGCAAAGTCTCCCAACCCCAAATCCCTCTTCTGGGCCGCAACAACCGACAACACCTCAACAGCCCTAAAAGCTCTTTCCGCAGGCTTCGACATCGAATCCAAAACAGAGATAAAGACAGGCCAACAACTCAAGGGCTGCACCCCAATCCTACTAGCCGCTTATTACAACAGCCCCGCAGTACTCAAACTGCTCCTGCTAAACGACAAAGCAAACCCAAACACCCCCGATGACAAATGGCTCTGCTCGCCACTGTCCTGGGCTGTCAAAGAGTGCTGCATAGCCATTGTGCAGACCTTACTCAGCGACAGCCGTACAGACGTCAACCAGCAAGACAAGATTGGCGATACCGCACTCATGATCGCCGTCAACTACCAGCCCGCGATGGTCCCCCTGCTTCTCTGTAGCGGACGGGCTGATCCGCGCGTGGGAAATCTGCAGGGATGGACGCCTCTCAGTCGTGCCGCGCAGGAAATTGACGGAGATGTGGGCATGTTGCTTGCCGACCACCTGCGCCTGATCATTCAGGGGGACGATGGCGAAGAGGAGTGTCAGCATGTGTTTTTCTATGCGGCTGTCATGGGCTATGTTGACATTGTCCATTACCTGGTGAAGTGTTATGGAGAGAAGGTCGATCCCAACGCCGAGGAACGACAGTATGGCCGGGGAGCGTTTGCGATTGCGGCTTCGGCGGAGCGGTTGGAGGTTGTGCAGTTTTTGCTGGAGTGGAAGGCTACGAACCCTAACGTGCAGACGGATTGGACGAAGCAGACGCCCTTGTTTGTTGCTGCGCAGCATGGGCACGACGAGATCGTGGCTCTGTTGCTTGATTCTGGCAGGGTTGACCTGGAGATTGCTGACAAGCATGGGACTACGCCTTTGGGAATCGCGGTCGAAAGAAACCACGAGGACATCGTGCGGCGGTTGTTGGCTGGGCCTCGACGGGCTAATCCTAATGCTCGCGATAAGAAGGGTCGGACACCGCTGTTCCATGCTGCATTGAACGGTCGCCTGGGTGTTGTGATAATACTCCTTGAGGCGGATGGAATTGATTTGCAGTTGAGTGATGCAGAGGGGAAGACGCCGGTGGCTGTGGCCTTCGAATATGGCAATCGGCAGGTTGCGGAGGTGCTACAGAGATACATTGACAGCGAACCGTGAATATTATGGTCTCAATTATCATAACGCATCTGGTGAGCGGCCCGATCATATGCTGTATCTATCTAGTCCTTCCACCCTCAGCACAACCAAGAAATAGAAGCAAGCAATGAATCGGTGTATGAAAACAAAATCAAATAGTGGGAATCAAACGGGAGAAGCCATATCTATGGCGGTATCACGAATGTAGCAAAACAATTCTAACATCGACATCTAATCAGCAAGTACATGCCGCAACATGGCACCGAACGGATCAGCAAGCTTGAGAATCTCCGTGACGTCGGGCTTGACCGGTTCACCCGCGGTACGACGAAGCTGGTCCTGTTTCTTTGACCGGCGGCGGCGCTCTACGGCGATGGGATCGTCCATGTCTTCATCTCCAGAGTCTTCATCAGAGGCTTCAGATGCTTCATCCGAGATGGTGAGGTCCTCCAGATCAGCCTGTAAACTGGTTAGCCTGAAATCCAAATCCATATTTGAAGTCGAAGAAAAACATACCTCATCAAGACCGAAATCACTGCCCCTGAAGGCTGCAGCTCCTGGAATAGCCTCCCCAGATATACCTTCAGCAGCCATCTTCTGGCGAGTCTTGTTCAGATGCCAGCGTTTTCGGTCCTCTTGCCACTTGATAAGCTGATTGATTTCGGTGAGAGCAAGGTCTTTGTCGATCTGGCCAACTCCGACAGCTCCTTGGAACAAAGCATTGATGTCCATTTTGCCTCCGGCCGGGCCGTTGCGCAGGAAATCGAGGATCTCCTCAATCCAAGCCATGAGAGACTGGAAGAGGCCGTTATCGTGCTGGTGCACTTCGTGGATGAACTTGTAAAAGTTGGCCTCGTGGCGAGCACACAGGTCAATGAACGCCTGCACTGTTTGGTTCGGATCGGCAGAGGCATCCTGGCGCTGGGCACTTTCAATCACACTGATAGCATCGTCGGCAAACAAAGCAAAGTCCGTAATGCTGTTGTAGACATTTGCAGATTTGTAAACCCGGACGAGCGGCTCGTAGAAGATAGTGAACAGATCGCGGAATAGCTGCAGGGTGACTGGCTCCTCAACAATGCTCAGCATCATCGCCTTGTCGCGCTGACGGGTGTAGAGCTTCAGAAGCTGCTTCATGTGAGCGAACCATTGGGCGCCCTGTTGCATTTCCAGGTCTACGTTTTCCACGGCATAGTTCCAAGCCACGTAGCCGTTGAACACCTTGCCAATCTGTTCCGGGGTGAGTTCGGGCGACAGTAGTTCGGAGCGAAGGATGGCCACAATGATGTCGACATCGTCGGTAGTAGCCTCTGCTCGGATCTCATTCTTGATGTCTTCCTCGGCATCCGCGAAGCTCTTGAGCTTCTGAGTAAGAATAGGATCTTCGACCTTCGAAGCCAGAGAAGAAATTGATTTTTGGAAATCTTTGATGCTTTCGTTTAGGGTTAATGAAAAGATGCGTTGCAAAAGTGACCGTGAGCCGAAGGGCTGGGCCATGAAAAGGTCTAGAACACCAGACATGACTGCAGCAGGGTTGGCGATGCGAATCACATTCTTCATTAGCGTGTAGGGAACCAGGCCGTGGATTCTCTTCGCCTGTGAAAACAGTTCAGGGGAGTTATCCTCGGCAAGGAACAGATGGTATATTGTTGCAGCAACCCTATCGAATGTTAGTACGGTGAAACACTAGGAAATCAGACAACATACTCAATGCGGAGCCACTCGGCGAATTTCTGATATTGCGGGCTGAGCTCTGCAATTGAGGGCTTTTCCCGGATCTCGGCGAACAGCCTTGTCAATCCATCTGAAATCGATTAGCGACCAATGTCATGCCGGAAGAAGCTCGCGACTTACTGCTCTCCACAATATCCCGGCGGAACTGCTCCATGTACACGTCCAGCTCCGCCGCTCGTTGCCTAGCAATCTCATAGAATCTCTTCTGTTCCTCGATCCTCACAGCATCCATGCTTTTCCGTTTCTCCACATCAATCAACTCTTCCTCGTTCAACTCGACGGGGCGAGCAGTCAAGAATTCTTCCATGACCTTGGACTCTGCAATGCGGCTGTTCTGCAATGCAGTGCGAAGGAACGCGCGCAGCGACACACGCTGCTCCTCTCGGTACAGCACAGTCGCCCTCGACACGTCGCTCGTTGACGTACGCGGTGACTTGGTTGATCGCCTTGATCCTCGGGACAGCGATCGCCGGATGCTCCCTGTGGAAAGAGTTGGTGCAGAGAGCCTTTCCTCGGGAACACTCGTGTCCTGGGTAGAGAAAGATGAAAGGGACGAAGCATCATCATCTGCACTAGAGCCCCACCAGCTCGAGGTGGAAGAAGACTTGTTCTTACGAGGAAGAGGAGGGAGTTGTTTTCCTGGCAGCTCGGTCCTCAGTCTCTTGTGAAGCTTGACAAACTCTCCATATCTCCTTCCAATATGGATCGCCGGTTTGTCGTGGTGCCGAACCCGAATAATGAATTCCTTCAACAGAAATTGTCAGCAAAACATCCCGCTCCCAAAAGAAGGCGATGTTCAGAATCAACTTACTGCATGTTGATGGTACCGCATTGTCCGCTTGACAGAGGTTGTCCGAACAGCGGCCACGTTCACATCCCAACCATTAATTGAATTACCCTCGGGCATGTTAGCCAGCAGACCCGAATCCTGAGCACCACGCTCGACGATTTCCATCTCCGAGAACTGAATGCGCTCCTCATATCCCGACGCGGTCGGCACACCGGAAACCATCATCAGCTCCACGAGCTTCTCGCATTTGCGGGCCAACTTCCGGCGCTTCGTCTCCTCCAGTCGATCCTCCGAAGACGAGACATGCTTATTGGCAAAGGATTCCAAGAACTATATTCCCAACTGTCAGTCTGGTTCCCATTCAGGGAAGCGTAGCACCCACAACTTGTAGTTTATCCTGCCAAAACTCCTTCTCACGCGCTTGGTCCAGGAACGGGAAGTTTCGGACGTGGTGAACAAAGATATACCGAAGAATAGGCAGTTCCGAGTCGACCGGGGCGACCTCACCGAATTCCGATTTGAATGGGGCGCCGAATCGCTGGAGTGCGGTAGGAGAATTTAGTTCGAAGATTTCAGCACGGACTTCGCGGGCGATGAGCTCGCGCTTGAGGTCTATGCCAGTTAACAACCTGTCAGCCACCGTGGAATCGGAATATCATCATCATATGCTCCAACTTACAGTGTTCTTGCTTGCCGGTCAAGACCTGGTCTGTTGGCGGGGTTGCACCGGCATCTCCGTTACCGCTAGGTAGAGCGGAATCAGGCGATTGTGTGTCTGGCATGTTGAGCGGTAATGCTCCTGCTCACTTGAGAGGGAAGCTGAGTCCCTGAGAGACTTGAATTGCACGCCCAGGATTCACGTGATGCAAATTGAAGCACAGAATGTGTCTGCCTAAAGAGGCCGGGGCTGTAATGCGGAGCTACTCCGTCGACAGGGCTGAAGAGCGGGGAATGCCAGGGAATGCTTTGTCCGATGTTTGTACTGGGAAAGATGTGGGAAAGACGATGTGGAGGGGGAGCGGAGCAGATGTCGGGAAAGACAGGATGTCGTCACCCAATTTATTTTTAATATTTAGCTGACACCTAAAATATTGGGGCTATACAAGGCTATATATTGTAAGATTCTATTGTTATCCTGCTATCCTCCATACAATGATGAAATAGTCAGCCAGCAGCCAAAAATGGCTGCACCTGACGCCGGCCTTGACGTCACGTGTAATAATTCGCAGGGTCCGGCCCACCACGCCGCTCCTTGGCTTCCTCCACGTCAAAGTAAAAGCGTCGTATGTGGTCGATCCCTAAGGAAGGCCTCTTACTTCAGGAAGTCCCTTCCTAGCGAAGAAATAATTCACCGGCTTCATAACCAGTACACGGGCAACACCGGGTTGAGAAAACTGGCGCTTACATGGGCCGATTGCGTTAGGCTTCTTTTAGACCCTTGCGGCTATTTATTATTGTGGAGCGGAGCAATAATAAATGTCATCATTGGCGAAAATACGGAAATAGCATGCGACCAAGGATGTTATCCGCGTCGACGTTTTAACCACCAATCAACAGAGATTATAAGCTCGGCTTCTTGCCTTCAACCACAGGTAAGGGGGGTTTTCCCCTGATTCGTCAACTGCATTCAACGTCTTTGCATAAACTCGACCACGGCCAGTTTCCTTTCTACAATAAGGTACAATATGTGAAAGGAGACATAGCCTATTCAAAGCACATATTAAATTAAACCCTCACATACCCTGCCTCCAATGTTGGCACGAAGGCCCCTCGCTCTAGCGAGCCGCCTTTACAAAAGCTCAACGTATCTAAGCCCTCTCCAGCGCACATCATTCCCAGGACCAAAGCCTCTTTTCCATCGCACAATCAGTACAATCCCAAGCAACCCTCTGCTTTCTACACGGTATACCGGCCTATCTGGTCGCACTTACACCATCGAACATGTTTTGCAGGAGGAAGTTTCCCCACCGCGTCAAGTCTATCGTGCCTCGTCAGTAGACACCGAACCTTCCCATATTTACATACATGCTTATACCTTCAGGGCGCATGGTCACAAATTCATATTAAAGTACATACATCCCGTCAACTTCGAAGATCTCCAAGAAGTCAATAATCGCCTACATAGCAACGCAAGCCATGTCCGCCTTGCTGTAGACACTATCCCCGACAAGTCTATGTTTGTTTTCGAACACTTCACAGGTCATCTCTTAACTCTTGCCCAGAAGGACTTGTCCCTTGCGGTAACCAAGAGAATCCTCAAGGACGCCCTTACCGGGCTTGCTGAGCTTCACGATCAGGATATCGTCCACACAGGTATTTCCACTGCTGTTTTTCTGGAATATTGCAACATAACTTACTCTTGTAGATATAAAACCAGACAATGTCTTCATCAACTGGCAAAATCTCAATGATGAGATTATCGTCGACCAAGTCCAACTCGGTGATCTGGAAGATGCAGCTCATATCCCCCCAGGATGCGACATGATCGGGAAACAAGCCGGCAACTGGATGTGGAGGAGTCCCGAAGCCCACGCAGGAGGGCCTGTCAACAAACCTTCGGATGTGTTCTCGTTTGCTCTTGTTGTAAGTCCCACATCTGGAACTTTCCTAAGCGCAGCTGGTAACTGGTCATCAAGTGCATCTGCGCCGTTCATAAGCGCATCATTTTTGCAGTTCGGGAAGATGAGTTGGAGGAGGGTATTGAACCTATCGCTGTCGTAATCGAGCGCCAGATCTCCTACTTCGCAGATGAAAACGGGCTCAATGGATTGTTGAAGCATCTTGGTGACAATCCATGGGTTCGCGTTTTCGAAGTCACTTGGGATGGATTGGACCAGGAGACCCCGCGTGAGCCGTTCGCACTCTGGAATGGTGTTGATGATGACTTCAAGAGTCTTGTTGGTGCCATGACACGTTTTGATCCGGGGGAACGGATCACGGCGCGTCAGGCGTTGGAGCATAAATGGTTTGAGGGCGTTTGATTGGGAGGAGTCAATGCGCAATGAAATATCTCTACTTGTACTGGCGTGGCGTTCAGGAATATATATTGCCTAACCATGATTGAAATGAACCAAGTATTCACAAGGCAAAGGAACTACGATATGTATCTCTTTCAGTTGGATAGAATAATTCATTTCATCTATTTATTTCAAAGCGTAAAAGTAAATAATACTCAATCAATATGAAAGTAAAAATTCAGGACTTCAGCCATGTTATTTAGAGTGGAAAGATTAAGCTAAACCAAATATGAAAAAATAAGAAAAACCCGCATTTCCATCGCTGACAACATTAAATACGCTCCAGAAAACAATATTTGCAAAGACACCCAAGAACCCTGCCTTTTTACTTCATAAATTCCAGCTCCATGTCCCGGGGCAGGTAGTGTCCCTGGGGCTGCTGGCCATTCCAGGCCTGCATGTTTTGCAGAGCGCGCTCATGCTCGAGTGAGGGGAACATCTGTTGAGGGTGCTGGTATTGAGGCGAGTGGTCGCTAGGAGGAGTTTGCATCATGGGAGGAGCACCGCGAGCCATCTGAGCGCTGTTATAAAGGGTAAAGTCGTTACCGGCCTGGGCTTGGAGTCCATATTCGTAGCGCTCAGAAAGAGTGTCGCCGACGTTACAAGAGTCCGGTGAATATAACATGGCGTTGCCCTGCGCACCAGGGGAGAGGCCGGTGGGCTTCCCGGAGGCATCGTAGGAACAGTGACTGAGGTTCATTGGTTCGTAGTCATTCGAATAACCCTTCATCGCCTCGAGGGCATGACCCTGAGGAAGCTGTGCAGCCATCGCAGTGTAGTCCTCGTTGGTTGGATAGTCCAGATTGCTCCAATCCAGGTCGAAGTTGATGCTTTCCGTGCCGGTGAGCGGGGATCCGTCAAAGGACACCGGTCCCATCAAGTCGGGAACCGATTCGGCAGATGGAATAGACATGGAGTTCATGGATTGGCGGTGCATCTCCAGGGCTGGAATCAAGCCGTTCGGGTCACCCGCTTCAAATTGACTCTGGAAGCCGCTCAGGTTCACCGATGTTGGGAACGAGTTAGCGTCGGTCATCAGATAGGGTGATGCTTCTCCGAATAGAGGGAAATCCTCCCCATGGGCAAGCGCAGGAGGGTCAGCGAAGTTGAACTGGGGATTCTCAGGCCAGTTGTAGGCCTGGTCGCTGGGGGAAGGACTGGGGCCAGGGATTGGAGAGGCAAAGTCGGTAACCTTCGAAGCCGGAGTAGACACACTGGGAGTCTGAGGTGTGGCCTGGACAGAAGAGCCTCGCTTGCTGCCATTGCGTCCGTTATTCTTGGAGCGAACGTAAACCCAACCATGAGATTTTTCCATGTGCTGCTTGCAGTTGCTGGCACGTTTGGAAGCATAGGGGCACTTGTGGAATTGACACTTGTAGAGGGTGGGCTTTTCCGAATGCCTGTCGTTCATGTGACGATCACGTTCTTTCTCGGTGGGCCAACCTTTAGTGTGGTAGTTGCAGTCAGAGTGCTCGCACTTCCAAGGGCGAGTGTGTGTCTTCTCGTGTTTCCTATGAATGGATTAGCAATTCAATTCCGATACTTCAATTGAACAGGGTAACTTACGTCAAGTCACAGGGGCGCTTAAAGACCTTGTCGCAGTCGGAGCACTTTTGATTGATGTTCATGGGAGGGGCATCCTTCTTGCGGCGGGCCATAGAGCGCTCAACGCCCTCATCGATTGCATCGTCGAGGGTGATAGTACGCTTGGCAGTACTAGAAACATCCGCCTCGTAGGGCTTTCCAGTGGCCAGAGATATTGGCTTTCCGTCTTGCATAATTACAAGTTCGGCAGACTTCCCATTCTGGGATAGACCACCTGCCAAAGTAGCCTTCGGGATGCTATTTTGAATTAGCTAGGCTCTGCTGTCTAAATCGAATGGAATATCACATACATAGAAGGGGTGGACTCCTTGTTAGTCTCGGAGCCCTGAGTCGCCTGGACTCGCTCGCGTTCAGCGCGAATCATTGCTGCGTATCGTCGGACCTGCGAAACAAGGTCAAGGAAGTATCCGTTAGTGTAAGGTCGATCGGCTGGTAGTCGTTGATCACGATCGTTGAGGTGCGACGCCGAAGTATGTAAGCATTGAATTGTAAATTCGCAGAAGTTGAGATAAGAATTCCGAGAAGTGGCGGAGTTCTTTAAAGTATAAGAAAAATAATAAGCATAACTAGAACTCCATAAACCCATTGAAGAGAACAATGTATTGACTTACCGGCGCCAACCACAATAGGGTTTTCTCGAGGTCGCGCAAGCAAACAATCTGCTTATTGATAATGCGCTGGGGGACACTTCGGGCCAATGCGTGGAATGGTTTCAAGCGGGGCTCTTTCAGAATAGGGACAAGCACAAAACGTTCAATCTGTTTGCAGGCGGCAGGGCCTAATTGACGTTTTGGCGATGAACCAATATCGAAAGCCGAGATAGAGCTTGTGATTGCAGATTGATTGTCATGAATACCATCATTCACTATTCATTGTTAGTACTCAAATAGGAAACAATAGGGAACAAAGGGCAACGATGAATTCCTGGGGCATGTGACACCCACCTTTATTTTCAGAATCAGCGAGCCCCTCTTCGCTACTGACAGAAGTTCCTAGTCCACTGTCGGACTCGTGGCTATGCTGTTGACGGGCCTTTTTCTCGTCTAGTGGGATGGGAATGCTGCGGCCCTCTTCTTTTAAGGAGCGCGGGGAGCCAGACATAGACTCGGAGTTACTGCGCACTAACCCACTCTCTATCGTACTTTCACCAGCGACCGAGCTCTGGTCTTCGGTGGGGTCCAGGGTCAGACGGCCTAGGATGGAAGTCATGCGCTCTTCGGCAACAGCGATAGATTCTAACGAGGTGGCCGAGCGATGAGGTAGGGAGCGGAAGTTCAAGACAGGGTCGCGATCGCTCGATGGAGGAGAAGTAGGGGAATGGAAAGTCTCTCCTTTCTTCAGGGGCATTTTAGAGCTGGGCGAGTCGCTGGGAAGAGCGCTGTTTAAGACCGGCCGACGACGCGGGTGCACCCGCGTCGGCTCAGTCTGAATAGCAGACATTATTGGGCGTAGTACTATGTCGGCCAATATTTAGTATACATTCTCGGTTAGGAAAGGAACAGTGGATTGCGGCTGATTGGCGCATCGCATGACTCACCGGAGAGTTGACCAAATGATTAGCGAAGTGACGTACGGTCGAGTCAGAGATGCAAGCCTCGACTTGATGCGGATGATCTTCGTTCTTTGGTATATAAAAGCACCACCTCTTTTGGATCCCAACCAGGGTTGATTAAAGCCGAATGGTTGAGCCGGTATGAGGGCCCTGAAGATCTATCACGATAGCGATCGTTTGAGAGCCTCTGGATGAACATGCACTCCAATCCAACGTGTCGCGGGGTCGGAAAACTTCAAAGCGGGGTTCGAGGCAGAGCGTATCAAGAACACCAGCTCAAAAGGATTTTAATCAAGGATTGCGATATCCTCAGGTGAAATGAATTCGCCGAATTCGAAGTACTGATGGGATTCCAATGTTCCTGAGATATAACGTCCAAGATGGGTTCCAAGCGGTCAGCCCCACTAAATATGAAATCTTTAGGATCCTTAGACTGAAGGCAGCGATGAACAGCAAAATAGGATTTGAAATGAAGAATAACACGAACAACAGACGACGGGGGGAACAAGCGGATCAAGGAAGAGAAGGGACCGGAGGCTCATTGCGTGTTGGATGTCTGCCTGATAGACGAAGGCGCTAAGACCGAATTGGTATAGAATGCGAAGGCTGAGCACATTCTACGGCCGGTGATTGGCCGTGGAAAACGTTTGTATGGTAAACCAATAACCGTAATTAAACAGGCCAGCCATTTGAGGTGGTTCCCGCGTGGCCCCCGGCGGGTACGGTACCGTTTCTCCACCGGTTCCACTGTCTTAAAATGGAAACTCGGCAGCCGGAAAGACCACAATTCCGTTCCAAAAGAGCCTCACCTCCCCAGGCAGCATTTTTATTTCTTCCTACGCGTCCTCATCCAAAGTACAGCGAAAGCCGGTGGAGTCAGCATTTTTATTTTCTTCCATGTCTACGTCACATATTACTGGGATCAGGCCATAAAAAGTCTGGGCTGGGAAAATTACCATGGCCATGCTTATTGGCATGGGGCACATGACGCTCAGGGTCTTGGCCCCCAATTGGTAATCAAGAGGGTCGTCGCGCAGCCAACAAAAAGGGAACACCGTCGACTAACTTTTAGGCCGATATGCCAGCTCATCCAAAGACTCATTCTGGTCCAGTCATGCTCGCCAAATACGAGCTGCATATGCACTCTTGAGCCTCCTATCACCGCTTGTTGTACCCGTCTTGAGCAGCCCAATAATAGTCCAATGTTGGTCTGCTCAGCCTGCGTTTGTCGGACGAAAACTCGCCCGTTTGAAACGAAAACGACATTCTACCTGTGATGCTATGCTGACCGGACGAACTAGACTTTTTGCTCGTATCGACCCCTCAACTCCGCCCTTCTCTGACTCCTTTTTGCCCATGCACAGCCTACCTGTCAGTTTATCAAAAAGGACCAGCTTTCCAAAGAGATGATGTATTCTTGAGCCAGTTTGTAGCGTCTCATTTACTTTGTAAGACTATACAAGGACCGACAACGCCCACCTTGTAGTATAGCTCATTGATATGCCAACTACATTCATGGTATCTGGCTATCTTACGTTGTAGCTGACCTCACTTTGCAATGGCACTAGGCCATGGAATTGGTATGAAAGTCTACCCAAGCCGCCCGGGAAAAAAATCAGTCAACCGCATTTGTTCCCCCGGAATTGTGTCTCACCTACATCACCTTTGGCGTGGTCGCCCCGTCACCGGCCTGACTACCGTCCTAACTATTCCAGGCTGCGAAATTATTAACTCGATATGCAACTGCCTAACTAGTTAAATAACTAGTCATGACCAATATCTGCTAGAAAACCTAGTACTACGAATG